CCTGAAATCACCTGGATACTTAAGGATGAGAAGGCACATGGAGTCATCCAGGACCACATCTCTGATGCCCTCCTAATGAGGACTGGAGACCTCACCAGCTCCAAGGAGTTATTTGAATAAACTTGTCTCGCTCCATCAAATGTCCAACATTGCCTTGGCCTTCCATTCATTCCAGCAACTCACCAAATTGTCCTGGGATGGGACATCACCTATTCAGGACCACATTGCAAAAATCCGGACAATTGATTCACACCTCTCTGGAATGAAACTAGGAGTTGATAACAAACTCATGGCTTTCACTCTTCTCCAATCTCTCTCATGCACTCCTGAATGGCAAATATTTCAGTCATCAGTAATCAACACGATTAAAGAAAATAAATTTACCTTTGATGCAGTTGAGATCCGGATCACTGCAGAAGTTGCACGACAGTCAGGGAAGGCCCCTGGAGGTTCCAAATCAGCACTCAAATCCGAGGACAAATGGTGTAACTTCCACAAAGCCAAATCACACAACACCTCGGAGTGTCGAACACTTCAGTCAGCTGAAAAAAGTCAAAGGAAGAAGGGAAAGGAAAATACAGCGGAGCAATCATCCAGATCTGACTCCGAGGAGGAACAGAGTCATATTGCATTGGATCATGTACATATTTCCAAGCCCCTTGCTAAACGCATTCAAGCTTACCTTGTGTCGGAACCCGATAAGACCAAAACAACAATTATTATTGACTCCAGAGCAACATCCCACATGGTCCCTCACCGCTCCTGGTTTGAGCCAGGAACATACCATGTTCTGCATCCTCCGAGGACGATCATTTTTGGGGATGAATCCTCTGTAAATGCCATTGGAATTGGAACTGTAATACTACAAGCAACTGTTGGCAATAAGGACTACAATATTGCACTGTCAAATGTCTTACTTGTGCCAAACTTCATGTTAGCACTCATCTCTGTCCACAAATTGTCCAAAACGGGGTTATCAACACTTTTTCCAGCAGGGTCAAATACTTGTGAAGTTCGGAAAAAGGAGGAACTTATCCTCACTGCGTTACACAAGCGAGGACTTTATCACATCCAAGCAAAACCCGAAATCAACCTGGATTCAGCTTTTGCAGCAGTAGATGTAAATTTATTGCACAGGAGAATGGGACACATTGGAATGGACCGCTTGCAACAAATGGTTACAAAAAGACAGCTCCAGGATATAGACACCCTTACTGGAACCCCGGAGTTTTGTGAACCTTGTGCTTTAGGAAAGATGAAGAAATTACCTTTCAAGTCCACTGGAGGAAACCGAGCCAAGCACCCCATACAAATTGTGCACACAGATGTTGAAGGACCAATCAAACCAACTTCCAGGGAGGGCTTTTGGTACTGGATTATCATTGTAGATGATTTCTCCAAATTTCCATGGATATATTTCCTAAAACATAAAAGTGAAGCACTGGAACAATACAAGCAATGGAAAGAAGATGTCCAAACATTCTTCCGGACTCATTTGGGAGAAGAAAACTTCAGCCCCACAACATACAGCCAGCTGATGTGGAAAAGGTCCGAATACAGCTAGACAGCCTGTCCATTGGATTAGCTTCTGGAAGGCATACAACACCTCCAAGGAGTGATTCAACACCTTCAGGAGTGAGTGGGGCAACAAATACACAAATGCTGCTACTCCCTGGAGTACCTGCACAAGTCCCTAAAAGAGCAGTCATGCTGCTGAAGTCCTAGGAGTACGCAGAAGCAGTCGCCAGACCCGTCCTGCAGACAAAAACCGAGATTATCAAAGGACTCTAGATGAGGAACAGTCTCAAAAAGAGCAGCATGACAACTCCATGGAGAAACCTAACACTCCTGAGGTTCATGAAGAAACATCTGATACAGAGGAGACATTCTTTGCTGGAATAGCAAGTACCGGTCCATCTAACACAGACCTTCCAAGGACACTAAAGGAAGCCTTATCACGTCCGGATGGAGAATTATGGAAGTCTGCCTTGGAGGAGGAACTCCTAAGTCTCAATACTAATGCAGTATATGACACTGTTCCACTTCCAAAGGGAGTAAAACCCGTCACATCAAAACGGAAACATTGAGAGATACAAACTCCGGATTGTTGCACAAGGTTTTACTCAAAGGGAGGGGATTGATTACCAGGAGGTTTTTGCTCCGGTTGCAAACTTAGAGTCAATCCGAATTATTCTAGCCCTGGCAGCAAAGTACGACCTAGAACTTGATCAAATGGATGTATCCACAGCTTATCTCAATGGAGAACTTGAAGAAGAACTGTACATGCTTCCTCCAGGGGGTGTTCCTATCCAACCTGGATACTGCTGGAGATTGAAGAAATCCATCTAGGGGTTAAAACAAGCTGGTTGTACATGGAACAAAACTTTTGATCGCAAGCTCCAGGAGCTTGGTTTCACAAGACTAAATGCAGAAACATGTCTCTATGTATTCCGGGACAACAAACAAATATGCTTTATTGTTGTCTATGTAGATGACCTCCTCCTAGGAGCTTCATCCCAAAAATTCATGGATATCACAAAAGCCAAACTCGAATCCATATTCAAAATGTGGGACCTTGGAGAAGCAAAATACATCCTCGGAATAGAAATCCAATGTGATCATTCAAAACAAGACAATATCCCTATTGCAACGCCAATACATTGACACAGTCCTGGAGCGTACTAGAATGAAGAACTGCAAACCAGTATGGACACCAATGGCCCATGGATCAAAACTCCTTGCAAATGCTCCAGGGGAAGATATTGTGCAACACGAGATGCATATTGAAGGGCGTCAAGTGTCATACCTCTCAATTGTAGGCTCCCTCATGTATGCCATGCTCGGAACCTGCCCAGACATTGCCTACATTGTTGGAATACTAAGCAGGCATAGCTCAGCTCCAAGGAGCCATCACTGGGAAGCTGCAAAATGTGTCCTCCGATATCTGAAAGCAACCAGGGACATGGAACTACGATATAATGGCACAGTTGTCTCCATGGACATGGATTTCCATGGATATTCGGATGCAGATTGGTCTGGAGACCCAGACACGTCTCGATCAACATCAGGGTTTGTCTTTATCACCATCCGAGGAGCAATCTCCTGGACAAGCAAAAGACACAGCATGGTAGCTTTATCCTCCACGGAGTCAGAGTATATTGGATTGAGCAATGCTGGACAACACCTTGTATGGCTTCGGACATTTTTTGAAGAAATTGGACATGCTCAAAATGGACCTACAACATTGCACTGTGACAATCAAGCAGCTATCATTCTTACACGAGATCCACAGTTCCGTGCTCACACAAAACACATTCAACGAAAATATCATTTTATCCAAGATAACTTAGTATCAAAGGGAGAGGCAGTAATCAGATATGTTCCTACAGGAGATATGGTTGCAGACATTCTCACTAAACCCCTCACTCATGAAAAACACTGGAAATTCTCTAAAGCTATGGGACTACGGTTGCACTTGAGTGGGAGTGACAAAACCGGATAAACCTGGTCTCTGCCGGAGCAGCCATTGTTCTCCATGGAACATAGCCACCACTCCATGGAGTAACCATTGTTCTCCTAGGAGCATAATTGTACTCCTAGGAGTCATTATACTGTAGCAAGTAGCACCTCCGACTATAAGTAGTAGGGGGTTTAGTATAGAAATACCTCAGGCATTTCTATAGCCTCTTGGGCAGCGGCTGAGGTATGTTACATTACATTTATTAGAGATCACCTTAAACTAACATCCATTGTAGTTTCACTTAGTTTTATTATATCCATTGGAGAAATGTGATGGAGACTCAGTATAGTATTTTATCTTATCTTATCTGTTGAAGGGAAAGGTGTCCACCAGCAAGTTTGATTGCAAATATCTTACTGAAATGTACTGTGATTGGAATGCAGAATGCACCGACTGTTGCACATCGCATATGACAAGGATCTCTTTTGATTACAAGGAAGACATTGATTGACGAGGGTATGTGTTGATGGAGCATGCCAGTCTTGGCAATCTCCAAAAATGTGCATAATTGTGGTAAAAAGTGTAAATTTGTACTATTTATGTACAAATGTGGAGATTTATGTACCAAAATTTTGTCATTTTTCACTGGGCCTGAGGGTCCGAATATCTAACAGATGTTCCATCATGAGTACCCAGGCTTCCCCAGTAATTACCACAATGTGATAAGGAACTTTGTCATATAGCGGCTTAGTGAAGTTGAGAGCAGCTACTCCCAACTTGATGACATTTGATGATTGTGATTTCTTGCTGCTTCTGTAGGAGGGCCAGCTGCAAGGTTGAGAGTGTTATTGATGTTCATCTCATCCGTGTGGTACCTATTTTATCACCTATTTGGGAACATTACTGTGTTGATGGCAGTGCTGCAAAGTAAGCAGGCTCCTCCCCATCCACTGTTCCGAGGGTCACTAGTCACTGTGGCTTTACAAAAGTCCAGCCGCTGTGCACTACGGGCATGGAAGCATGGAAGCAGGGCGGTTACAGGAGCCGGTGTTACTAATTCCAGCAATGGTGGCAGCAGCACTGATGGAACATGGCTGAGGGCAAAAAATTAGCCTCAAAAAGGAGCTGCCCACTTGGCTCCTTTTTAGCTCCGTTTCAAAGACTGATTTTTTGAGTCCTCAGCCACATTTAACCAATGCCACCAGCATTGCTGGAATTAGTAACACCGGCTCCTGTAACCGCCCTGCTTCCATGCCTCCATACCTGTAGTGTGTGGAGAGGTTCAGAATCAAAGTTCAGCTGACTTTCAACATTTTCTCATCACGTGCTTTCTTGCGATGTCAGGATGATCAATTGTCTCTATTCTCTAGGATACATTCTGAACCTCGAAACAGTGGATGGGGAGGAGCCTGCAAAGTAAGTTGAAGCGCTGGCTGGTTCTATCGGTGCGCCCCGAGTTGGATGGGCGTTAAGCAAACTGAAGGCGCTAGCTGAACCAAAAGTTCGAGCTACCGCACAAGCTCTTATGTACCTTCGCATGACCGGAAGAATAATTATTAATGATGCTCTTTTTGTGGTTTACATTTATCTTATCAGTGGATCGGGGAAGACCACCGACCGAAATGCATTTATGCATAACAGACACAATTCAGAACAAGGCTATGCTTTCCTCGAGCCAGCTAACACATCTCTATTCATACTAGTGAGCCTCATCAGCCGTGCCACCAAGCGCAATCGCCAGAAAATTCATAATCCCAGAAGCTACCCAAGACTCAGCCCGTTCACAGCCTCGCCAGCACCTTCAATCTCCCTTTCTTCCCCGTCTAGCCCACGTCGGGATCTCAGAATCGGGCGCAACACAGGGCTAGCTAGTCCCAACGTAGGTCGCATGATCGGACTTGACGTCACACTCATCGTGCCCAGACTGACAGGCCTTGAGCCCGGCATGGCGGGGCACGAGTAAGTCACCGTTGGGGAAGATGCGGCTGAGCTGACGCTTGAAACGGGGATGGCGATTGGGATTGGGAGCCGAGAAATGTTGTTAGGAGTGCGAGGTACAAATGATGGATGAGATTCTCGGAGGAATGAGAGAGATGGGGATACGGCGCGACGTTTGGGAAGCAGTGGGATAGGGATCAAAGCGATCGTCGACTGCTGAGGTCGTTAGCCATGCCAACAAACAAACTGCCAACGCTTACATTTTCGTTTAGTAGAGCGAACAGCACTGGTAGTAGGGGGAGGGGTGTAGCGCCATTGTATCGATGCTGGTGTTGAAATCATCGACGGAGATGGTAAAGGCTATATGCGTGTTGATAAGTGGTGACACAGTGGAATCCAGCGTCTGGATCACATACCATATCTACATCCATAGCTCCAACAACTGGGCTGCCAGTTAATGACATATTTAGATCCTCGCCGCTTATGCTATGAGCAGGTGTACAAGGTTTGAAGATACTGGTCGCCTCGCTCTGTGCTTCGAATGCGAATAGTCCCCCAACATCCCCATCCTCATCGTCGCTAGGGGTGTCCTCCCTTTGAGCGTCTTCATCCCCAGCTTCTTCAGGGTATCTGCCGCGATCAGAGGGTGCCCGTGGTGTGCGAGGCTGAGTTGGAAGATCGGAACAAGAGGATATCAGACGTTGGAAAGCAGCTTCCGACTGCACCTCATTCTCTTCTGGGCGAGATTCGGCGAGCAAATTAAGTATTCTGGGGGGTTTAAGCTGAGAAAGGATTGACAATCGTAGCTCTATTGTAAATTCGGACGAATGCTCACGGGAAAGGAGAGGCGACGCGATGAGGTTGACCTTGATGGAGCATCTAGGACGTCCGTGTTACTAGGCATAGAAAACGTTCGCGGGGGGGTCGACGGACTCAACGGAGCCTTTCCGTCAGAGGTAGCCTCATTTTCAGCATCATGTGCATCGAGAGAGCCGGATGGCGGTGTCGGGTTCTCTGAGCTGCTGGAAGGCGAACTGTCCATCCACATCCGTTCTTTGTCGCTCTCCGACTCTTCGCCATTGAGACTCGGGTGTCTCTTGAGTGGGGCGGTGAATGAGGCAACCAGAGGGCTTTGAGGACGTTTTTCTGAGTAAAACCCAGACTTGGAAGTTGCTATGCTGGGACGACGAAATCGTAGTAGTAACGGGCTGGTTTGGGTATCGTCCGTGGACAAAGATGGGGTAGATGAGCTTGAAGACGGTGGTAAAGCAAAGTCTATGGAGGACGTTGGGAGAGAAGGTCTTGAGGATGAAGAGGGTTCGGACATGATGAATAGACAGAGCAAGGTATTCAGAATGTGAATGAGTGTTTCGAATAAATTGTCAGGGGTCGTCTATCAGGAAAAGGAAATGAGTGTGGGATGTCTAGGCTCGTGCCCAGCCAGCTATGGGTTTAATTTCAACTACACCGCCATTTTCGGCTCAGGTACCACCCAGCCACACTTGATCCTACCGAGGATGAAAATCCCAGCCACTGGTTCCACCCACCTGTGACTTCATAGTAACGCCTCTTATTAGAAGCTTTACCACAACTGTGACTCATTTCTTACTACTATTGTTGGACAGGTGCTGCACTCGTTTTTGCGAGGAGTGAAATTGCCCACCAGTGAGTGGAGCTAGAGTCTTCGGAAGACCACCAGTAGTTGCTATTTTGAGTTCTCTAGGTCCCTGTGTAGAGATAAAAATGTGAATCAGACACCATGTTGCAGCGGAACGAAACCAAAACGACAAGGTAGGTTTTGGACCAGTCTTGCAACTATTCATCATGCTTGATCACACACAGCATGTTCGACAGAAGCAAGTGGAGCTTGTCGGCAATGTCCAGCCAAACCATCAAAAAAAATGACAAGTTCAGATGCAGGTGTGGGTGCGAGAAGCGGAACTACTGGGCTTCAATGATTATCTGATGCGTGATTGCCTGTTTGGGTCTTGAAGTCACAATTTCTTCTTGTTCTTCCATCTGCAGGTGCCTCAAGGCTTTGATCAACTCAGTAAGCACCTGTCATTGTAGGGGTTTACCTGTTGATGTTCTTTAGAAACTTTTGTGACTTGCTCAGCACACAATCTGCCCCAATTTAGCCCTCTTTGCCTCAAATTGCACTTTTGGAGGTCAAGGCCGTAGTGTTAGGTCTGTTTTTATTTCTACAGGTAAGATATTCACAAAATTCTTTAATTTTATGGTTTGTTACATTCTATTCTATTTCTGACAAACTTTTAGGGGGTTGTAGTTGTACAACAATTATTGAGCCTGTAGAGGCCCAAGAGCATAAAGGGTCCGGATTGCAACATCTGTCCAATGATAGTAGAGCCAAAATAGCACCTTGTCAAGGTCAATAATATTCAATGTACCTCATCATCACTCTGACTTATCATGTCGCTTAACACATCATTGGCCCATTGATTCACAGATTCCCTAGATAGGTAATGATCCCTATGGATTTCCTGCAGATTCTTGAGTTCAGATGAAGGCCTCAGAGTTTCTTTGTCTTCATTACTGGTAGGTGAATGTCCGACAATTTGCTTGAGTGAATCATTGCTGTCCATGGTGTAGAAAGAGAGGTTAGGCTCATTTTGGAGTTTATACATACATGCTGGGCAGGCATGTTTGAGCCGCCAGTCAAGTGTGTCTTGTTGTAAGACACACTGAATGTGCATGGAGACCTGTGCTTTGATTTCTAGATAAAGGCCAAAGGCGATAGATAATTAGCAAGACAGTTATTGTTTGTAAGGAGACTACATAATTAGTACCTGACATGATAATAAAACATAAACAAACCTTACACCATGGAGATCTGTAAGGGTCTTGACAAAAGCTTGAATTGAAAAATGAGGGTTGCAATGATGTGCTACCCAATAGAATTCCAGTGTGTTGGCTGTGATAGCCACAGAAGGAGAGATGGGCAAATTGGGAATAACACCTTGGCAAATCAAGAGTCAGTAGGAAGGATGGTCAGACTAAATGAATGAGCGTCTGCATGCTTTTAGCATGCCGTGAACCTGCCTAAGGCGCCTATATGGGGGAACACACCAAAAATGTTGACTACTTTGACCTTTACCAATCCACTCCCATTGCATTTATCACTTTGCTATTTTCCTCACTGTTCTTGCGCAAACCTTCCAGCAAAGCCTTTTTCCCGCTGCAAACACCAATAAATATACACATTGTTATGACACACAATTTTTGGACTTGCAAACTTTTTTTCTCCACTTTAACTTTCTTTCTCAGTCTTCACACACTGATGCCATGTGTTACTTTCCTTTTATCCACTCTCACTTTCTTGCGCTGTGCTATTTTCCTTTATTTTTAGATGCAAGTCTCTCATGCAGAAAATCCTAAAGTAGAAAAACATGTTTTGTCAATATTTTTTCTTCTTCTTTGGAGCCACCTTCTACTGGAATCCCAAGGTGTGTGCTGATGCACACATATTTATTCCAAAAGGAGATCTGTTTAGATGTTGGTGTGGAAGGCCTTGCCTGAGGAACAGTACACCCAGCAAGTGCACTGCTTGGTTCAGGCGCTAATAGTATTTTCATAGATCAGGTCTGAGCGGGGAGGGTTGGACTCCCCCTTGTAAAATTTGATGTATCTATTCCCATCTATAATGTTGATGGTTCGCTAAACGCAGGTGACTGTATTACCCATAAATGTTTTTTTGTGGCCAAGTACAAAGGACACAGAGAAAGAGTCACCGCCAAGGCTACCCAACTAGGGAAGATTAATTTGATATTGGGCTGGACCTGGCTATTTAAACCCAATACTGAGATCAACTGGCAGACAGGGGTTGCCACATTGTCACATTGCCCTCAGGGATAAACACTGGTCATGTTTATGCCAAACTCACATCTCTAGATAAAGTTGACGATGATGATGATGAGGTGAAACCTGAGGAAGAGATTAAGAGGCTGGTACCTCCAGAGTACCATGACTTCTGGAAAGTTTTTTCTAAACATAAATCTGAACGCTTCCCAGAGGCAAAGCCTTGAGACCGTGCTATAGATTTGAAGGACATATTTAAGCCTAGAAATGGACATATGATTCCCCTCTCTGCTCCAGAAAGAGATGAGGTTTCTAGTTTTATAGACAAACACCTTAGGAAGGGTTACATCAGACCTTCCAAAAGCCCTATGACTTCCCCGGTGTTCTTCATCCCTAAAAAAGATGGTAAAAAGTGTATAATTATGCCCTATTATTACCTAAATGGGTACACAGTTAAAAATGCATATCCACTGCCTTTGATCAGTCAGTTAGTAGATAAATTGGCTGGACCAAGATCTTAACACAGATGGATCTCCGATGGGGGTACAATAATGTACACATTAAAGAAGAAAATGCTTGGAAGGCTGTGTTTATGTGCCACCAAGGATCCTTTGAATCCCTTGTTGTGTTCTTTGGGTTGACCAATTCACCGGCGACCTTCCAGAGCATGATGAATGAGATCTTTGCAGATATGAAAAACTGTGTTGTCATTTACATTGACAATTTGTAAATATTTACAAAATTGGACAATGAGGCTGAGCATGACAGGATTTTGCAAGAAGTCCTTTGACACTTACAGGAATGGGACCTATTTGTCAAACCCATAAAATGTAATTTTAAAGTGAAGGAAGTAGACTTCCTTGGTATGATAATTGGCCAGAATGGAATCAGGATGGATCCTGAGAAAGTTCAAGCTATATTAGATTGGCCTGAATCTACTTGCATTAAAGGAGTTAAGCTATTTCTACCGAAGATTTGTCAGAAACTTTGCAAAGATAACGAGACTGTTGAACAATCTCATAAAAAAGACATAGTCTTGCATTGCGGTGCCAAGGAACAACAAGCTTTTGATAAGCTTAAACAGGCATTGACAACAGTGCCCATACTAGCATTTCCAGAATTAGACAAAGAGTTTTGGCTAGAAACTGACTCTTTTGATTTTGCTACTGGGGCTGCCCTGTCAATCAAATGCCTTGAGGATCTTTGGAGGCCGTGTGCCTACTTATCATATAGTTTATCGCCTACAGAGCACAACTATCAAATTTTTGACAAAAAAAAAGCTGGCCATTATTCAAGCATTAGAGCACTGGTGGCACTACTTAGAAGGTGCTAGACACCAAATCAAAATCTGGACCGATCATAAGAATCTGCAGTATTTTAAGACGGCCCAGGACTTGAATGAAAGACAGGCCCTCTATGTAGTGTACTTGTCTAGATTTAACTATAAATTAATTCATCAGCCAGGTATGGGAAAAGCAGATGCTTTATCTATAAGAGAGAATAATGTTAATGGCATTAAAGATGGCAACAATGGTGTCACCCTGATAGATTAATGCAGGGTTTCCAATGTTTGAATTGGGCAGGATCATAATCTTCTAGAAGTCTTCAAGAAAGGCATCTCATTAGAAGAGAAGGTGCACATTGATGGCAATGAAAATTATTTATGGGAAGACAGACTCTCTCATTACAGAGACAAGATCTATGTGCCCAAGTCCACAAGGATCAAGGTGATAAAGGGACATCATGTCACACCAGTGACTGGGCACCCTGGGCGGCAACAAACAATGGAGTTGATCTCCAGAAAGTACATGTGGCCTGGCATGATTAAAGACATACAAGAATATGTGTAGTGTTGCTTTTGCTGTGCCATGGCAAAGAATTCTCATCAACCACTAGCCAGTAAACTTATGCCAAATCCAATACCAGCTGGTCCCTGGCAGGATATATTGGTTGATTTTACGATAGATCTACCCAAGTCAAATGGATATGATTCAGTAATGGTGGTTGTGGACCACGTTTCAAAAAAAGTCTTGTTCATACCCACAAATCAAATTATAACCGCTGGTATGGCAGACTTATTTAAAGATTTTGTATGGTCCATCCACAGGTTACCAGAAACGGTTATCTCCGATAGAGGACCTCAATTCACTAGCAAATTTACAAAAAACTATGCCGGATGCTGGGCATCAAACCTAAGTTATCAACAGTATTCCATCCGCAGACCAATACACAAACAGAGAGACTCAACCAGGAGTTGAAACAGTATCTCTGGATATTTATTAACAATTGGCAGACAAATTGGGCCAAGTGGCTAAAGATAGCCCAGTTGTCTTACAATATCAAACAGTTGTTGGCTACAGAAAAGGCACTATTTAAGATTACAAGATCATACCTCCCTAGAATAGGTGTAAAACCTGGCAAAAGCAAAAATGAGGCTGCAGGGAACTTGGTCAAAGACATGAAGTCTGTTTTAGACAAAATATGCAAGGCACTAATCAAAACTGGAAAGCAGATGAAGGACAGGGCAGAGCATAAACACTCTAAAGCCCCTCATTACAAGGTTGGCAACCTGGTCTGTTAAGATACCAACCACTTAGAATTAAAAGACCAGAAGTCTAGAAAACTGACCAAAAAGTGGATTGGGCCTTATCAGATTAAGTAAGTCAAACCCAATGCTGTGGAGCTGGAGCTCCCTACACAAATGAGGGTAGTACCCATGGTCAAAATTAGCCTTGTGAAACCCTACAAAGGGCAGCTGCCGGGACAGCGCGTAAACCGGCCTGGACCAGTTGTAGTCACCCAGGAAGGTTAAAAAGGGTTGGAAGTCGGTCAGGTAGTGGATACACGCTTGAAGAGTGGAAAACTAGGATTCCTAGTCCTCTGGACAGGCTATGGAGATAAGGACAGAACATAGGAACCAGAAACCCATCTGGACAATTCTCGCAATGCTGTTGGCAAATTTTATTCTAAGAATCCCTCAGCTCCTAGGAAGCTTAGAGACATGAATTCAAAACTTTTTAATTCCCTTTTTCAACCTATGCCCAAAACTTTAACTACTACCTCTGGTACTTGGTCCCGCATAGAGGTTGAGCCTTAGAAGGGGGGCAGTGTTATGATACACAACTTTGAGACTCTGGGAATAGTTGTTTTTGCTGGTGGACCCACCACCAAATTGCATAGTGTAGAGCTCCTGAGCCCTACCAATATCTCGGACCGCCTCAGCTGCGTCACTGAGGTTGTCCTCTCTTCTACCTTGTAGGTAAAGCTGTTGAGCAATGGCTGGTGCCACATTATACTCCAACAACTCCACCGCACGTTCATTTCATTTCCAAGACCCCCTTGGATTGAGAGGGCCTGTTACAATTGACATACCAGCACCTACTTTACACTTCACTTTTCTGTACTTTACACTTCATTTTCCAAGTCATGCGACTGATCATGTGATCTTTTATTTTACTTTACTTCTCGGACTTTTCATAGTCACATGACCAATCATGTGACACATCACCTGACCAGTGTCTAGAATCACCATGTGACTGGTCACATGCTGGACATCAGACTTTAAACATTATTTATCAACTGTACAGTACCTCATGGATTGTAGTATATATACCTGAGAAATACATGGGGAAGGACTCAGCAAGCCCTCTCCTAGTGTCTACCAACATTAGTGAGGACAACCTCCCTCCTTTGATAGGTTTTACACTTCCTATTCTCACCATTGAGTTGTTGTTTGTGGTGGTGTTCCAGTGCCCCAAGATTGTATTTTGTTGGTTTTGTCACAGGGCCAGGAACTGCATAATAAAACTCATGTTTCCTTGCTTGAAGGTATGGATTTGCTGACATGCCCAGTCACACTCAGCTTGTGGCTTCAAATATTTTTCAACCTCTGTCTTGAGTTTGTCCCAGAAGGGCCACAAGTTTGTGGAGTACACTCCTGAAGTTTAACTTGGGCATATCTACCCGCCACAGGTCCCTTGAGTCTCAACAGTATAGCAGTTGAGAGCTCAAAATCATTTTTGAAGGCGTTGAAATTTGCCTTCACCCAAATCTGGAGCTTAATCCACCATTTGGCAAAGTAAGCCTGGTCTCCGTCAAAGGTGCTGAGGTCAGCCATAATCTCAACCTGTCAACTCTAACATGGCTTGGTAATACTGCACCTCTGCTTATTCATATCATTGTCTAAATTCATGTATTGCTTGCATACTATACTTATACTCGGACATATGGCTTGAACTTAAAATCATTCAAACCAAGCATAAAATCCAAACAGATTTCATTTGTGTTGTGGTATTGGTCAAAGCCCACTAATTAAGGTATTACACTATATTCTGATAGTTATTTATGATATGAATACATCTAGATTACACAGTACTGCAACATGTAAAATTTTGCATGCTATAGTAGATCACCCTCTGGACTGAACCTACCACACATACTGCAGCTGATACTTATTGAAAATTTATTATATTAATTATTACAGGTATGTAGTCTCATTGTTGAACAAGCTGTGGGGTGATGATAACTATCTATCAGACAAGCAAGCAAATTATCAGCACTGGGAGCCTGATGACTTGTTACATGACTACATAGCTAACATAAATTACAATAAATTAATGTAATGCTAGAGCTGACCAACTGGTGCATATTCACTATAAATTTACAGAATGAGCAGGCTGGTGGATCTTCTGAGTTGCTCTACCCCTAGGAGGGGCTACCACCCATCAACAAAATGATATAGCTGGTCACACTTCACCAGAGCTGACAATCATGAGATATATGTTAGATTTTTGTTAACTTACCCAGATAATATAAGATATTATGTCACAATCATAAAAGAACTATCATCACTATCTTCAGTTTCTCCTTATCAGTAGTAATCTTATCTCATCATGTGACCTTACAGTCACCTGACTGCTCTGGACTATGACGTCAACATCAGTCAGCGCCTCAAGGCTGACTGACATTCACAGTAGTGTATATAGGAGACCTCTCATGTACATATTTCCTTAGCTATTGATTTGTTCTTCATTCAACTATCCAGAACACTACCTAAGATTGAATGATACTAGATGTAGTCATGTCTGTGAAAACTAGACAATATGAAAATTTCAGATTCAGTTGTGTTATAACAAGCTAATATTTGTGAGTACCTAGACAATATGAAAACTAGATAAAAAAGACTATTGATATGTATATCATAACATGAAATAAATGAAACATACCCTCAGATGTGTTATAGCAAGCTGAGGGGAAAGGAAGGTGGTTCAAATAGATATCACCCTCTGGACATGTTGGTCATGTGACCTTTTTGTATCTATAACAAAGGGGACAGTGGTCCCAAATGCTGCGTGCAAGTCACATTGCGTCGGTTATTTTGCTTAGTTTTGCTCACGTGGTTTTTGTGGCAGCACAGAGCAGTAGTACAGTAGTAGTGAACGCAGTGAAAATTGTAGCCACACTGAAGAATTCTCACGCTTATAAGAACATTCAACAATTGTAGTGAAAATCGTAGCCATGTTGAAAATTCTTGCATTTAATTGTTTTTACTACAAAACACGGTGGACACCAAAACTCACGCTTGCGGCACAATGCAACACAACTCAACCAAACAAACCTCTTTTCCTACTATGTGGGGAAGTGGTCTGGCCCTACACACAAAACAAATTGTTGTCGAGAATTTGCACATTTTGTATTACAAAAACTAACAGCCATTATTGACCACTGTGACAACACCAACAAGACACAGTCTTGGGGCATTGGAGCACAATGAAAACAACACTCAAAAGAAGAGGAAGGGGTGGGAGTGGTTACCCATTAGGTTTCAACAAGTTAGTTGTTGGTAGACAACAGGAGGACTCGCTGAGTCTTTCCCCATGTATTGCTCCTGTATATATACTAAAATACATGAGGTACTGTACAGTTGTAAATAAAGTTTAAAGTCCGATGTTTAGCATGTGACCGGTCACATGATGAGTCTAGACACTTGGTCAGGTGATGTGTCACATGATTGGTCATGTGACTATGAAAAGTCCGAAAATGTAAAGTAAAGTAAAAGATCACATGACTGGTCATGTGACTTGGAAAAATAAAAGTAAAAGTACGAAAAAGGTGAAGTGTAAGTAGGTACTGGTACGTCAATTGTAACAACCACACTGTAGCGTGTATAAAAATAAAATCAAAGACCCTTCCCCACACATAAAAACACAGCTTACATAATGTGAGTTTACAACAGTTTATGGTGTTGATTCAATTAAAACTGACACATTGATTACAGAAGCCCAAATTATCAATAAATCAGTGCATATAGCAAATACATAAATATGAATATGAGCAATTCAAATATGCAGTATGTGTAGTATTGTCAATGTGTCATTAACCACTAACTGATATATTGATGTGATTTATAGATATATTCCACAGACTCCCGAACAAGAACGTGGTGAACATTGCAATAGAGATTGTATACAACATTATCAACAGATGACATCACCAAGTGTGCGACGAGAGCACCTCTTGGATTGTAGAGATTTGAGAAATATCAATATTGCGCGTCCAAATTTTGGAGGACCTGTGCATGATTATTGCATGTCCAGCTATTAGCTGGACCTGCATACCCTCAATTGCAGCCCCCTTTTCAAATGCGGCAGGGTAACCAGTTGCTTGCTACCCATGGTGTTGACTACAATAAAAGGCTATTAGATGGGTTCCAAAACTGACATGCAGAACAGGTTAATCAATGGCGTAATAGACTATGAAGGCAGGAGCAGGCTGAGGATCAAATGATTCAACACCAGGAAGCAATACAGCTCCAAAGGCAGGAACAGCAGTTGGCTGAGGATCACCAGGAAAGAGAAATTGAACGTCAGGAGGCAATTAGACTACAGGTACAGCAGCATTCTCAGCATGCTGATCTGTGTTATGAAGAGCTACAAGCTTAGCAACTCATTAGAATCCAAAGAGCTGCTCAAGAAGAGCTTGAAAGGAGGGAAGACAAGCTAGCAGATCAGGCCCACAGGGCTGCCAGGGATGCTGTAGACCAAGGCAGGGACTTAAATGAACCGGTAGCTGCCAGAAATACACCAAGGATGCCAAGGCCTCAATGACTTGCAACTGAACAAAATATTGCCAACCGCCGCCAAGCATAGGTAATATGCCAGGAGGCTCAACAACCATATGTAGAGCCTCTATACCGTCATACTTTACGCAACATGGACGTAGAGTGCCATAATTGTGGAGTATTACACTGGGATACCGAGAGACTCACAAGTTCCTCCAGGATCCATCTAAAATTTGGTGTATACTGCCTTCAAGGTCAAGTTAGGCTGGATCATTTCCAGGAAGCACCTGCTGCTCTACGCCATCTGTTCCGTGGGGTTGACATTACTGCACGTGAATTCCGTGACAAAGTCCGCTCATACAACAATGCCTTTGCATTTACATCTTTGGGTGTCAATATAGACCTTGCTGTCACAAGTGCTGCAGGACCTTATAGTTTCCGTATCCATGGAGGCCTTCATCATAGCATCAGCGCATTCCATCCACCTGAAGGTGAAACTCCCTCTTTTGGCCAGCTTTACATTCACCACCCACAGACTGCTCTTTCTCTACGTAATGAGAATACCCAGGGGCATGGCACTACACCAGCAACCATGCTGGAGATCCAGAATACCCTGAAGCAATTCAATCCATTCATCCCTTTGTACAAGCAAGCTTATCAGATTATCATGGAAAAGCCTGAAGCAGAACGTGCCAAAATAACAGCCCATATAGCTCTTGACCAAACTCTGGACCAACATTGTTATAATCTTTCTACTGCAGATGAAGTTGCTGCTGTTATCCCTGGAGATGGAGAACAAGATGTTGATGAGCACCGTGATATTGTTTTGCGGCTGAAATTTGATCATGGTGGTGGTCTCAAGCATATCAGCCATTTGCGACCCCTTTATTCACCTCTGCATTATATCCTCCTATTTCCCTTTGGAGAACAAGGGTGGCATAGGACAATACGGTCTATTCAAAATGCTGATGGAAATATATGCAGTGAATATGTCTCCCAGCGGTGTTATTATGCATACTATCTCCATCCCCGAGGAGCCAATCAATCTAATCTCTTCTATGGTGGAAAGCTACTTCAGGAGTATTGTGTTGATGCATGGGCTTCCACAGCAGGAAGTGAATTGAAGTGGGTCCGTCATCATCAAAAAGACATAAGGGCAAATCTTTACCAAGGCGTTAAAGATGCTATGGATCGAAATGATGGGAAAATAGATTTGGGTCAACAGGGCCAGAACATTGTCCTACCATCTTCTCATTCTGGCAGTACACGGCACATGTACCAGCTCTTCCAGGACTCCATGGCTATATGTCGCCACTGCCATAAACCTGATATTTTCCTTACAATGACAGCAAACACCAACTGGCCTGAAATTCAAGAGGCATACAACAATGCCGGTGAAGTAGATGATGACCCCAATATGCCTACAAGAAAACAGACTGCTGCAGACCGTCCTGACATTTTTGCACGTGTCTTCTATCAGAAAAAAAAGGCACTGTTGAAGGAAGTCAAAGATGGGATCTTTGGAAAGACTTCGGGATCTGTTTACACTGTGGAATACCAAAAGCAGGGTTTCTCACACATGCATCTTCTCATATTCTTGGAAGATCAATATAAAATCTGTGATGGCACCTGTAACAACCAAGAGTTATTTACTCCGGCGCACACAGGAACACACTAAAGAAGATGATGGGGAGTGGTTACCTCTTTGGCTGCAGTGAGTTAGTTGCTAGACAACAGGAGGACTCGCTGAGTCCTCCCCATGTATTGCTCTTGTATATATACTAAAATACATGAGGTACTGTACAGTTGTAAATAAAGTTCAAAGTCCGATGTCCAGTATGTGACCGGTCACATGATGAGTCTAGACACTGGTCAGGTGATATGCCACATGACTGGTCATGTGACTATGAAAAGTTGAAAATATAAAGTAAAGTAAATGGTCACATGACTGGTCATGTGACTTGGAAAAATAAAAGTAAAAGTACAAAAGTGAAGCGTAAGTAGGTGCTGGTATGTTAATTATAACACCACCCAGGTTGACTCTGTTGTCTCTGCTCAAATTCCTGATCCTGTCACACAACCAAAGTTATATTCAACGGTCACAAAGTGTATGATGCACGGTCCATGTGGACCTGAGCACCCTGGAGCCCGGTGCATGAAGAATAGAGCATGCTCAAAACGCTATCGCAAAGAGTTTTGTGCTGAAACCAGATTTGGTGATGGTGGTTGTTACAACCAACAGTTAGTTACTCTGGCGCACAACTCAGACAAGCAAGAAGAGTAATAAGAGGGAGTGGTTACCCCTTAAGATAGGACCAAGTTAGTTGTGGGTAAACAACAGGAGGACTCACTGAGGAGTCTCCTGGATCTATTGAGGTTTATATACTACTACAGTGTTGTTTGTACACATGTACTATACAGTTGATGGAGGCAGTGGCTGATGATGTCATGGGGCATAGCCCGTGTGACCAGCTCCACTGCGTGAGAGATTTGTAGCTAAAAATAAGAAAAAAGTAGTGCAGTGCGAGAAGGTGGAGTTTGAACAAAGATGGAAAGTGCCGTATGGCACAGTGTGTGAAAACTACAAAAGAAAGTTGAAGAGGAGAATGAAAATTAAAGGTCCAAAAATTGTGTATCGTAACAATGGTTATCCAGAATATGCAAGGCCTGACAATGGGAGGACTTATACAGCTTCAAGTGGTCATGTTTTTAATAACCGTGATGTTGTCCCTTACAATGCATATCTCTCTGCCAGATATGACTGTCACATCAATGTTGAAATCTGTTCATCTGTTAAAGCCGTCAAATATATTCATAAATATATTTACAAGGGCCATAATTGAGCTTCAGTTGTGGTGGGAGAACAAGGTGCAGATGTAGGAATTGTGCATGGAGATGCAAGGTAGCCGAGGGATGAGATTCAGGAATATATTGATGGTCGCTATATTGGTCCTGTGGAAGCATGCTGACATCTTTTGGAGTTCCCTATGCATGAAGAAAAACCAACGGTATTGCGCCTTCCCATTCAATTAAAGGATCAGCAAACTGTATTCTTCAATGCCCATGATGATGCATCAGGAAAAACCCTTTTTCTATATAGTGCTATATAGCCACCACCTATATATATAAACACATTCATAGAAACTATAGTACTATCAGTGCAGTCATAGCTCTTATAGCTCTTATAGCACAGTAGTAGGCAATTTTAACCAAGGGGAGAAGTATCTATAATTCCCTCAAACTCTGGATTAATCTAATAAACTTGTTCAATAATAGAAAAAGGCCAGAAGTGTTTGGAGTTAAGTATATTGTTATAGGCAAGGCACTATAAGTGCTTTTATAGCCTATAGCAGCCTACATAGCTCCTATAGCTGTAAAGGTCATAGTTATAATATAGTTCAAGGTGCTTAAAAGGGCTAATAAATTATCCAGTATTAACTAATTATGTAGCCTGTATTAGTGAAATAGTAGTTTGTATCCCTGATACTCACAAAATAAGAATAATGATTTATCCAGATATAAGTAGTGACAATGAGTAAAAAAATAATCTAAGTCCATGAAAGGTCAATATATAACATGTGTATAATACATTTTATAAGCTCTCATGGTGTAGTGGATAAATGTGATGTGTGGCTATAGGTTGCTTAGTCACTCAAGAGCTGCTAGCAGGTTGAGAGTTCAAATTCTGTCTGTGTTAATTTTTTATATCAGCCACACAACAATTTCCAACATCTATAAGAGCATTTATAGAGCTATATGAGGCTCTATAGATGGCAGAGGTTCTATAACAGGTTTGACCACTATAACAGCTCTATGAGTACTTATAGTGCTATAGAGCTCTATATAGCTACCCCCATTTTTCCTGATGTGCAGAGAATATAATCAATAATGACAGTACATCAAAGACTCAACTCACAGAATGGTTCACTGCTAATAAAGATCACCCTGAAGGTTGTCACATACCTTATCCTCAATACTTTGTCTGGAACAAAGGTGCCAAAAAATGGACTCCAAGAAAACAATGATTTGCTATAGGGAGAATGTTGTTTGTCCATCCAAGCCAAGGGGAGCACTTCTACCTCCGTACACTGCTCACTGTGATCCCTGGAGCAGAGAGTTGGGAAGATTTGCGCACATTTAATGGGGTTTTACATCCAACTTACAAAGCTGCATGTGCTGCACGTGGCCAGTTAGAAGACGATGGTGAATGGAATCAGTGTTTGGCAGAAGCAGGAAATATGCAGACAGGCCCTGAACTCCATGTTCTCTTTGCAGTTACCTTACTGCAATGTCTCCCAAATGAGCCTGCAAACCTTTGGAACCAGCACAAATACAAGATTTGTGATGATTTACACCATTGCCTTCTTCAAAGAGGGATAGCCCAACCTTCAGAAGACCAGATTTATGATTATAGGCTATTCTTGCTGGAATCCATACTTACTCAATCCAACAAATGTCTTACAATCTTCCCACCAATGCCTTTTCCTCAGCAACAATGGGAGCCTATCATTGCAAACAATCTTTTCCACGAGCAGCAAAACCATGACAGATTTGATCTTACTTTGGAGGTTGAAGATAATGTAGAGAGGCTCAATCAAGAGCAGCAGAATGCTTTTGATACCATGATGCAGTCAATCCACCATAATAAGGGAACTACTTTATTTATCCACAGTGCTGGAGGTGGGGGCAAAACATATCTCTGTAATACAATTGCAGCCGCTGTTCGAGTAAGGGATAATCATAATGTTGCTCTATGTGTAGCATCCTCTGGGATTTCATCTCTGCTCTTGGAGAGTGGCTGCACAGCTTATTTACGCTTTGAAATCCCTATTCCTGTACATGAAACATCCACATGCAGGATTCCAAAAAACTCTGACCTCTATGAGGTATTGAGACATATTGGAGTTATAGTCTGGGATGAAGCACCAATGTAACACCGTCATGAGATTGACGCATTGGATCACACAATGCTGGATATTTTGGGTGATCAGCTTCCACCAATGCAACACCGTCATGGGATTGACACATTGGATCACACAATGCAGGACATTTTGGGTGATCAGCTTCTATTTGGAGGTATTACAATGGTCTTTGGAGGGGACTTCCGCCAAACAACACCTGTTGTTCCAAGAGGGTCAAGGCAACACATCATTTCTGCCTCTTTTAGAAGGTCACAACCATGGACAAATATCTATGTCTGCTATCTCACACAGAACATGCGCCTGGACCGTACTCCAGAAAGTGAAGCCTTTGCTAGCTGGCTCCTGGATGTTGGTGGTGGTTGCGGAATTGCAGGAGATGGAACTATTGAGCTTCCTGCCAACGTGCTTATGCCAGAAAACACCATAGACTCATTAGTCGACACTACCTATCCTGGAATTGCAAATAGAGACAAAAATGACCATGATTTCCTCCACCGCACTATCCTCTCTGCAAAAAATGATGCAGTTAGTGACTTTAATTCAGCAATCCTCACAAAATTCCCTGGAGAAGAGTTAGTGGCTCTGTCAATTGATAAAGTGGTTGGAGAGGGGCATAAATATTATTCTGTGGAATTCTTGAACTCCTTGCAGGTATCTGGCCTTCCTGAAGCGCACCTCAAACTTAAAGCTGGATATCCACTTATGCTCCTCCGCAACATTGATCCCCTAAATGGACTCTGTAATGGAACACGCATGATTTTGATAAACATGAAGAGAAGAGTATTGAAGTGCCGTGTCTTAGGAGGAAAACATGCAGGAAAGATAGCTTTTATTCCACACCTCACATTGGAACCTTCATCAGAAGAATTGCCCATCAAGCTATCACGTTGTCAATTCCCTATCCATGTTGCCTTTGCCATGACCATCAACAAGTCTCAAGGGCAATCAGTGACACACATCAGGAAAAATGGGGGTAGCTATATAGAGCTCTATAGCACTATAAGTACTTATAAAGCTGTTATAGTGGTCAAACCTGTTATAGAACCTCTGCCATCTATAGAGCCTCATATAGCTCTATAAATGCTCTTATAGATGTTGGAAATTGTTGTGTGGCTGATATAAAAAATTAACACAGACAGAATTTGAACTCTCAACCTGCTAGCAGCTCTTGAGTGACTAAGCAACCTATAGCCACACATCACATTTATCCACTACACCATGAGAGCTTATAAAATGTATTATACACATGTTATATATTGACCTTTCATGGACTTAGATTATTTTTTTACTCATTGTCACTACTTATATCTGGATAAATCATTATTCTTATTTTGTGAGTATCAGGGATACAAACTACTATTTCACTAATACAGGCTACATAATTAGTTAATACTGGATAATTTATTAGCCCTTTTAAGCACCTTGAACTATATTATAACTATGACCTTTACAGCTATAGGAGCTATGTAGGCTGCTATAGGCTATAAAAGCACTTATAGTGCCTTGCCTATAACAATATACTTAACTCCAAACACTTCTGGCCTCTTTCTATTATTGAACAAGTTTATTAGATTAATCCAGAGTTTGAGGGAATTATAGATACTTCTCCCCTTGGTTAAAATTGCCTACTACTGTGCTATAAGAGCTATAAGAGCTATGACTGCACTGATAGTACTATAGTTTCTATGAATGTGTTTATATATATAGGTGGTGGCTATATAGCACTATATAGAAAAAGGGTTTTTCCTGATGCAGGTTGGGCTGGATTTTATGTGTTTCAGTGTTTTCACATGGGCAACTTTATGTTGCATTGTCTCACTGCACTTCAGGAGAGAGAATAAAAGTGCTATTTCCACATGGTTCAAATGACAGATGTACCATCAATGTGGTGTATCCCAAAATTCTGACTGGCTTTATCCGTGACTGGCAAGTAGATTTTTCTGCAATTCTCACCCTTTTTACTAAAATGTTTTGATATCAGACCATATTATCATCCTTTACCATTTCTGGAGTCTTTTTTTTTTTAATTTCTCAACAATTTATCAATGTAATACCACAGACTTTTTATGTTACAATATATGTTGATGTTTGTAAAGATTCAATGAACCATCTGCTTGAATTCAGTATACTGTGCACAAGTTTAGGGCAGGCTTATAAGGACATTCAATGACAGAACAGTAAGTCAAAAATGCATCATAGGATTCAAAGACCTAGCATACATTACAGACAGCATAAGTTCACTGACTTAACATTTTGATCACTTAACAGTATTATTATTATTATTTATCATATAGCAAAAACATCGCACCAGTGGCAGAGCCACGGGCTGGACCTCGTTCTGCTTGTAGCGTAAATAGGTTCCAACAATGTCAGTTTTGATAACACCATATAAGGACATCTGTGGCTTTGTCGTACCTTCATTGATTTCCTGGAACTTGAGGTTATGCCGTACGGTTGAATCTCCGACGGCAGCCTCCACGTGATGGACCTGGTGTTCTCTGTAACCGTACGCGCTCTTACTTTGGACCAACCTAATTTGGACTGTCGCTCCATGATATTCTGATATTTAACCGGCGGCCGTGCATTCGGTTCCTGGGTGGCCATATAGTAAGTAATTCGGAGATGGGCCGAGCGCGTGGAAGGTTGTTTTCTCATATTGCTCACACTTCAAATAAAACGGTCCCTCGCTGCCATCGCTCATTTCTACTGTGAAACCGATATCTTTATCAATCCAAATGCTGTTTTCAAAGAGGTGCATCGTATTCGTCGTCGCAGCTCTTATTCAGCTCACGGCTACTCTCCCTGTTTGTGCCCTTCCTTTCCTTGTCTGGTTTCTAAGATTCCGCGCTCACTGTACGGTTCAGGTATCTCGGCCGAATGTCGCTATCAGCAGAGAGTCAGAATCAGTTCGTCTTCATACCACATCCACAGTGATGATATTTTATTTTCTGACCTGATCTACAGAACGTCAGTCCAACCACATATCAATTCGGGGGAGGTGGAAGCGGAGGAGGTCCCGATTGGTGAACCGTTTACCTCGTGAGTTACAGTCCTACTTCACGTTCAGTATACCAATTTTCTTTCCCCTATGAATTTCGATTTTTAGTGGCTTTTCGTGATGACTTTGACTCGATATCTGCGGGCGCTGCGCTCCACATCCATTCCTACATTTTTTTGATTTCTTTGCAGTATTCGATATCGTCGTAATCACACCCTCTTTGACATATATAACTACGTTGTTGGTGGGAGAAACTACAATTACATTCTGTATTCAAATATGTATTCCGCCGTTGAACTTTTCTTTTCTATATCACTGTCCTTCTTCACTTTTGGCTGTTTATGATCAACGTGTGGTGATTTAGGCGTTGATTTGTTTGGTTTCTTAACTTGGTTTGCTTCTATTTGTGCTTAGTGCTTGAATCCCAGTCAGAATCGTGTAAGACCACGCACTGCGAAAAAACTCTTATGCATGTCGCAAAAATCCGTTTTTCATGATTTGGCCGAACGCGGCATGATAATGTTGTAAGAAATTTGGATAATATATTAGATACAGAACGCTGCGGACAGGTTCGATCAGATACCTGTAAGGATAATACACGTGACGAGCGTGAATACACTAGCCACGTTGATTGCGCTGACACGGCTGATCGTGCTGAAGTGCCGGAGTATGCTGATTGAGCTCACCAGGGTGACCTGTCAATTCAGCTGCGATCAAGGATATCCGTTAATTCAGGCAGAGGACACGGACAATGCTGGCCTGGTATTAGTAAGGCTCAATGGTCCTATCGTGTCTGGTTTGGCCTAATAGGAGTTTTTAATACATGCTTTTGTTTGCTTTTTGCCAGTTTTCAATCTTAAAGCTTAAGAGTAAAAAGAGACAATAGCCATAATATTTCATTGTAAATAGTGTCTACTAGTTGTTAAAGTGATATCCCCGAGGCAGATTTGTATATTACAAAGCCATTAGTATCAGTAAATACCGTACACATTGATTCATGATTCTCATCCCATTCCTCAGATGGGTAGCAAGTTAAGTGATAATGCAAGCTATGGGATGGTCCGGGCGTCGGAAGGGGAAATGTTGCTCCTAGTGTTGCAAAAACAGCGGGTGAGACTGACTGGTTGATGGTCAGAAAGACCATAATACATAGCTGAGTAGTGCAGCTCCTTGCCGTGGTCTTTGTTGGCTGCTGGCTTCCTTGTTTAAAACACCAGGGTTGATTGGCTCTGCAAGCATACTTGGGTTATCAATAAATGTGTGTGCATTGTGCAGGCTGATGACATACCTTGTAAGTTTGAAGATTCAAAGGCCTGCAACATCAAGTGTTTGTATTGGTGGTATTTAAAAGGGAGCATATAAACAATTATCAAGAGATACTGCATCGTTGCTCACTGGAAGCAGAGCCCAACAATACACTTGGACCCATAATCCAACAACCCATGCCATCATACACAGGAAAGCGACGACACGTAGTTCCACACCTTGTATTGAAAAGACGTCGTTGTCAGAGAACAGCTCAAAGTCATCTACTTATAATAACGCTGCTCCCACAGTTCTTGCACATGCTGCCGAAGGTCCCAGTAAACTCGAGAAACACTGGCTGAAAATTCATGGGGACACATATTCAGTAAAGCAGAAGGAAAATAATGCAGGGCTTGTAGCTGCAACAAGTCCCCTGGTCTCACCTCATACACCTACGCCGCCTCCGCCAACCAAAGACTCTCCAGTGCTGAGATTGGGCTCCACAAGCACGCACACATCTGATGGTGTGATATCATACCATGATGGTGGTGGATTTGGTCAGGGTTGTCCTGTGGATAGAAAAGGGCGTTACAAGTACAATCAGCTCAAACAATACCAGCAAAGTACCCCGAGTTTTTCGACACCCACTAAATCCCAGGTAGATGACACAGCCAGTGCTGATAAACATCCCATGCCTGGTGTGAACCTGGTCAATTCTTTTAATGCAGCAAACAAAGAGGTAAGAAATTTAATACACAGGAATTATGTTTTATGACCTACCAGTTTGATTGAAAAAACTCTGTAGTAAATGTTGCCGAGACAACAGGAAAAAGTGATGGAAAAGGCACTGTCCCTTTGAAGTGTTGCATAGGTGATCAAGATACCATTGGCAATGAGGTACATAGATTGAGATCACAGTAATTTGGGCTCACCGTTGGTACCATTCAGCAGATCAACATTATTCCCCCATTGACTCCTGGGACCGGTTGCGGGGCGCATCAATTCCTCGTATTGCAAATGGAGCTCTCACCACTTAACCCGGGGAAAAGGAGGAGAGTTGCAAGGTCAGAAGCACCAGACGGTCAAGTCTCTCAAGATTTGGAAGAGACATTACAGAACATAAAAAAGAATCTTGATAAGGTGGGAAGAGTGTTGAAAGAAGACATTGGAGGGGCGATCCGTGAGCAGACTGAAGTGCTGAATGGGTGTTCTCCATGAGTTTGTGTCAAAGTAGAGCGAATACAAATCACTGCTGTATCATTATTGTTGATTGTGTTAGTAAAGACTGTATGAACCTGCCTTTCTCTTTGTCCAACTTGTCTCCCATAGTCTTGGACAGCTTCTTGAACTCACATTTGGACTTGGTGTTATCGACACCTTGGTTTAAGCTGTCCGGATTGAAGCTTGATCAATTGATCATCAATAAGATTACAAAGCCAGTCAGTCATTTGACGTCTGATAAGATCAATTCACTAGTATTTGTATCTTATCTAATATCAGAGGCATCTACACACATGCTGCCTTCACTGTTCGAAGTTATTGCTTCCATCTTTGTTGTTCCCACCCTCGTTGAGCCCCCCCCCCCCCAGAGCCTTGTTCAGAATTGCCGTTTTGGCCTTTGGGCTGTTCATTTCCATCCTCATCATGATTCAATGCAGCCATCACACCTTGCATTAATTGGTCCCTGTCTGTGTTGCTCAGTTGGCCTGCGAGTCCATGGCTTGTATTGGGGAAAAAGACTTGATCCCACTCTTGGAATATATTGAATACACTTTTTTTTTGTTTTTGAAGGCCGCTTAAAAGATACTCCAGGTAGTTGTCAAAGTCATTGTGCCAACAAATGCCAGATTTGTTTCCCTTTTCCTTGAGGCAATCATCTGGAGATAAGGTCCAATGAGCCTAAATCAATCCCTGTATGTTAGTCAGATTTCTCTATGAGCTTGAGAAGTACTCACAAGGACAGCAGAAGCTGTGATCATGCCAGGCATTGTATGGTTTAATCCCCATTTTAGATCCATTGTTTCATTGATTCTTGCAGCACGAGAAGATTTGCCTTCGTTCATTGCAATTATGGATGCAGGCCCTTGTATGATACAGCTCGTTGTCTGCTCGGTTGGCTTTTAGTTCTTATTTTCAGCTGTTATTAACTTACTTTTTGAAGAATTGGATTCAAAAAAACTGTTTGGATGTCGAAGTGTCCCTTGTAGTCTCGATGAAGGACACTGACATTCCATGGATGATATGTCGAGGTACCGTTTGCATTTTCCACCCACCCAATATCTTCACTAAACTTTGCACATTGTTTGCGAGATACCCTCAAGTCTTCCTCCATGCAATTAAAAATGATGGCACCTCGAGATTGAAGACGAGTAGCTGTGTTTGACTGCTGTTCTTGTATTCCATCACGGAACTGACAATCAGGTGAGTTTCATGTTCAATTGAGAACTTCTGGGAAGTGTCTAGCCACTTTCTGAGAGCTAACAGGGACAGAACTAGAGTCCAGGATGAGTAACTTTATTATCAGAGAGTACAGAATGTGTACAGTACCTAGAGTCCAGTATGAGTAACTAAAGAATAGGAATACTGGACTCTGCAATACTAGTCCGAAGTTTTGTAAACAAAGGTAAGCAAATCAGCCACAAAGGCGAAATAATAGAATGCTCAGTGAATACTGAACAATAGAGCAAAAAGAATAAAGAAGAAAGTGATTTAGAAAGAAGGGAAAATAGATAGCACAACTAGGTGCAGAATCACCAAAACTAATGACAAAACCGGATAAACCCGGTCTCTGCCAAAGCAGCCATTGTTCTCCATGGAGCATAGCCACCACTCCATGGAGTAACCATTGTTCTCCTAGGAGTCATTATACTGTAGCGAGTAGCACCTCCAACTATAAGTAGTAGGGGGTTTAGTATAGGAATACCTCAGTCGTTTCTATAGCCTCTTGGGCAGCGGCTGAGGTATGTTACATTACATTTATTAGAGATCACCTTAAACTAACATTTCAAACATTGCTTAAAAACTTCTGGACCACTCACTGAACGGCCTAACCAGCGATTTGGAAGGTCGCCATGGTATGTCGCAGGAAATACGTCTAAAATATCACGAAGCTGAACTTGCACTCTAGCAGCTGTGCTACCAAAACGGTCCAGTTTATCATACTCGTCGCCAATAATTGTTTGAAAAGTCTTGGTAGGCTCGTGTAGCCAAAGAGCATGAGTTATCTCAAACTGATGCCCCAGTCCCTTGATCACTTGCTTGTGGTGTATGTCATCATCCCTTGAGCTCTTGGTGTCTTTTTTCTTCTTTGATCCCCTTTCAACAGACTCATCCTGATGTACCTCATTCATAGCATCGTTGTATTTACGACGCATAGTTTTAGCTTCTTCCTTTGCAGCATTAGCTGCAATCTGAGTATTACGGGCAGCCTATATACACCATTAGCACATCTTTGTAGACCAGAAACTGACTGTCTCTACCTTATACAGTGATGCCGGTGACATTCACAGACTGATTTCTGATAAATCAATATTTGATTTCGTGTTACTGTTGGGTTTCTGTGCAGAGCTTGGATGCTCGTTACTATCTGGTGAGTCTAATACTTCTGAATCATCTCCACCTCTCTCTTGTTCACTATTATCCTCCATTTTGGTACTAGACGCCTGTCTGCGTGAAACAACCCTGCTCTTTGCATGGGCTATTTTTCTTCCTGGAGCTTGAGCAGTCTGATGAGCAGCCTTTTGATTGGTAGAGGTCCTTTTCCTCTTGACTTTGATATGTTTCTTTTTTTTTCCATCTGCACTGTTCTGGTTGGAGACGAGCAACAGTGTGGAGTATCTGTTATTGACTCTGATTCAATTGTTACGTACACCAGGCTAACCATGAATTTTAGATCTATGATTTTCTCAACAACAACATCTCCATGCTCAACTATACTAGCTAACTACACTATGTCTCATATTCCTAGGACAACCGAGGCAAAAAAAAGACCATGGTGTAAATACTCTCAACAACACCAAAGCACACAGTGCTTTGACAAGCACATTGAGTCCTGCAAGGTCAGAAATCAGGAACAATTAGAGCTAGCAGCACGACAAGGAAACCATTCAGAGAAACGGTGCTTAGGGAGATCACTTGAGGAGCCAAATAAAAAAAGAAAGAAAACTGTTGAGGTATTGATGTCTTTCTTTTTCAACTTCTTAAACTTACAGTTTTGTGCGTCTTATCAGGCTGACGGAGACCGGACTCAAGTCAATGACGAGGTTGAATTGGGTCCTCCAATCAGTGGTGCGGGAGTATATCATGTCTTTCAACTGTGCCTGACAGACTTGAATCTTAACTTAGCAGAATCTGGTAACAACAAAATTAATGTCCAACAGATATCAAGCAAGTGCAACTTTTATTCAAGTTGTCCACCATCCTCAAAGTGGGAAGCACGACCCAGTCATAATTCCCCTGGACAGTGTTACCCCTTCAGCTGATCAAGGCAACCACAAAGCTGGACTTGGCTCTGCACTGGAGATCAAACTGTGGGTGCCCTTTCACAATTATGCCAACTTTGAATACGCGGAAATAGTGGTCAGGGGATTATTAAGTAAATCAATAGTAAACACACAGTTATATGGGATACATCATGGATGGGCAGATAATACTAACATTACATTTCGGAATTATGCAGACATCGAGAAGACTTTACAAGTAGCACATGCGCAATATGTCCAGGTAGGCAAAAATGACCCTCAAGATTGATTCTTCTAACTTTTCTTTCAGTTTCAGGAAGGCAATGTTTCTGCATGTTATCTAGGAGAAACTCATTACTTCAAGTTTCAGTATCGAGATCCGTGGAAAATCTATCGCAACTGGATTATGGATGAGACATTAGTGCCTCTCATCCTTTGGAATCCCTGTCGCAAATATTATTGCCGCCAAAATGGTAGGATAGTCTTGAAAGGACGCATATACGACGAGTTCAATTCAGCCAACAAATGGTGGGACGTACAGGTAAATATATAGTATATACATTTACATGCTTTCTGATGTGGATTAATTTGAATGCAGGAATACTTTCCACAAGAAGAACCACCGCATTGCTTTCTACCAATCTCTCTCTGGCTCAACAAAGGGAATATCACTAAGCGGGTCAAGAAGCACCCTATAATTATTTGTCCGCTATTTTTGCCACGGGGGGTAAGAAATGCATCGGAAATGGAGGAGGTGTTCTTGTAGGGTATATGCCAATTGTAAGTATTCTTTCTGCTATGCAGGGGCTTTTTATTGCATTGTTTTTACAGCCTCTGGACCCGGCCAACCCATCTGACCAAAACACTGCTGATACCATTAAATGGCAGTGCTTCAAGCGTGAAGTTTACCACAAGGTCGCCAAAGTAATATTCCACTCACTACGATGGCCTGCACACTTCAGAGAAGCAATGGCCTGTGGTGACAAAATTGGTAGAGTGATACATCCAGGAATACCAGTCAAGTCTGTTGATGGCAACAAAAGCTGTGCACTAACAGCTACGTGTGCGGCCCTGGCCAAATTTCCATGCCCAAAATGTCTTGTCTGCCATGACAATTTAACCAAACTATGTGGAAATTTCCAGTGTCGCACAACTGACAACATGGAGAAGGTGTACAAGTGTTCAATCACAGCATCAAATAAAATGGAGGCTGAACAAATCTTACAAGCCCACGGATTACATGCAACCAAGGTTTTCTCCCCGTATTTTTATTATCTTCCACTGACTAGCTTTTTACAGAACTTTATTTGGTCACTCGACCACTCGGACCCATATTGTTCAATTTCATATGATAAATTGCACTCTGATGATCTAGGAAAATGGGGTAAGCACATCTCGCTCCTCCTCACAGTGTTAGCAGAAAACGGAAACAAAGGCCATATGGCCAGAAAGTAAGTTTCAACTACACGTCAAACTTGATGTCTCATTCAAACTTGGAATATATAGTATGCGGAATGTATCAAGATGGCCTGGACTCAAACACTTCATGAACGTCACCACAGTCAAATATGCGGATGGTCAAGTGTTTTATGATATACTCAAGGTGCGTAGTCTTTAATACATTATTTATTAGCGCTATATACTAACTTTTCTGTTCTTCTAGTGTATTCTCCACTGCATCGTCCAAATTCTCCCTAGGAACTCAACATTAGTACATGGTATCCAAGCCTATGCTAGATATCCACTCATGATTGGCCTCATTTGTATGACCGAAGGGAGGACACACCGGCTTAAAGAATATATTACTCAATATGAACAATGTTGTGAAGTAAGTAGTGGTTCTACATGTACTGTATCTTGATTGTTTCCTAATGGCTCTTATAATACAGCACATTTCAAACAATTACGAGAAGGACTTCCACTTTAGCAAGCAACACACTGTATATCATATGCTCACAGAAATCTGGCAGAAGGGTGCGACAGAAAACTACGACACACGAGTCAGCGAGGGCTTTCATCAAGAGGCACAAGAAGCCTAAGAGCAGACAAACCGGAAAGATACAAACAGCCAGATAAGCAAACATAATTATGCGTACCAAAAGCCCAATGTTCAGTTTCCACAGATGGCTTGCATTGACAAGAACCAGGAAGCCATCACCCACATACGAATGACCGTTGACAACTATGATAAAGCCCACCATAACAACACTGAGGACCAAGACTTAAGAGATGACGCTGGCAGTAATGATGACCAGAGGTTGATGCAACCTACCCCCGGTAACCACTGGATGCTAGGATCTCCCACAAACCTGACAAGCTTGGTAGTTATAGAGCATTGCGAGGGCCTCAAAGGATTTCACAAGCGTCTGCGGAGTTTCTTAGTCTCAAGTTGCAATGTAGCCGTTGGAGACGGTCCCATCATAGTAAGCTGATCTCTGATATACTTTACAGCTTTAATGTTGTTCCATGTTCCACAGATTAGGAAATATGAATGTATTTATCTCAAATATCAATCACACGAGGACTGGAGCAAAGGACGGGACATCCTTTGCTGCAACCCAAATTTCAACAAAGAATCACGCTTTGACTGTGTTCTCATTAACACAAAAACATTGGAGCCAGTTCCTGCTCGACTCCAAACTCTCTTTTGATGTTTCCTTCAGTCCTCTTTGTTTGATATTGCATCGGTCAAGATTTCAAGCCATCAAATGGAATTCCGAGGACCAGATGGTTGGGGGCACTTTTATATGATGAAGCGAGACATTTCAAGTTGGTCATGGCTGGGTCCCTGATTCGGGGAGCTCATATGATTGAGGCTTTTGATCTGAAGGAAGGCCGGTTTTACTTAAGTGACTTGATTGACGGTGATATGTTCCTACATTTTGGGAAGTGACAACTAGAGCTTGTATTATTAACTACACTAGTAAAATCTCAGTTGTATTAACATTTTGAACCATTGAGCTAAGTCTGTCTGATGTCATCTATTTTGACCCATTTATGCTCTCTTTTAATCTGGTCATGTCTGGTCAGAGAATATCTGTTGCTCATATCCCTCTTACCCCAGCTAATCCGCCTGATCGTTTTCTGTCCCAGTTCCAATATGTTTCTCATCAGACACAATCCAAGTCCCTTATCTTCTTATCCCAGCTGATCCACCTGATTGTAATCTGTTCAAAGTCTGATCCGATTCTGATCACCAACGGCTCAGATCATCAGGTGGCCCAGGTAAGTTACAGACGTTTGAAAGGTCTGATCTGGTTAAACAGATTTTTCTGACACAATGTTGCAATGTCCCGGAAATCCCTACATATTCACCACATTCCAACCACATGTTGATCAGATCACTCCACATCAAAATGAGTTGGAATGAACAGGTTCTATACACATTACAAGTAGATCACAACCAGGTATTAAACACATTTTCACTTGTATGATCTGAGTAGTCGGATTTTTGACAATATTATAATAACCACTGGAACTTATGTTAGTGTATTATATAATATTCACTGGTAATTACACCTGTGATTCCCATGCAAGTCCGCTAATTAGCCTTGCTACCTCCAGCTGATTGCACAGCTAGTTAGCCTCCCAAATTGTCTTTGCAGGCCTCCTTCAATATCTCTTGGATAAATCTGAGACTTTGGAGGTTTGTGAGCTATTCTTGCGGCGGGGATTTGGCAGCCACGCTCAAAAGGACCAACAACCCGGAATGCCACATGTCTGAGTCTAGAGTCATCACTGTACACGTCAGCACCGCCTGACATCGCAGGAATGTCACACACATTACACAACACTGTGATGTTCGAAAGATTCAAGCTCGTTGTCTGACACAGCAAGCTCGAGAACGCCCTTCTTAGCATAGAATTTATATTGTTCTTGTACACTTTGCACCTTTTCTCAATGAACATGGAGACAAAGACCAACTTTGAGTGATTGGAGAGAATATAGTGACATGTTCCTTGAGCCAGTGAGTACTGTACTATCTACTTATCCTACTCATCCCCAGAGCTCTCAACAATCTCTCGGCTCATCGCACTTTGACCCGGCACCCCTCCATGGCCTCTTTGTGCTGGGGCAGCTCCTCTTCCACCCTGTAAGGAACCTCCTTGCTTGCGCTTGGTACCAGCGTCTGAGCGCTGTTTTTGTGGTTTCCCAACGATTTCTCCAGCCTCTTGACGTCTCTCTAGGTCGAGTTTATGGGCAATTTGTTGGAGTCTTGTGAGCTTCTCCCAATGGCACTCACCAGTTCTTAGGGAGTTGTGAAGGGTTTGTATATCACCGACAGTTCCTATGAAGGATAGATTGACAAATTTCAGGCCAGTGGGCCAATTGGCCAACCGGACCTTGTGGGTTTGCACAATGGCGGTCTCATAATTTACATAGTTCATGTAACAACCAAGAGTTAGTTACTCTGGTGCACACAGAAACACACTATAAGGAAGATGATGAGGGAGTGGTTACCCCTTAGGCTGCAGAGAGTTTGTTGGTTAACAACAGGAGGACTCGCTGAGGAGTCTCCTGGATCTATTGGGGTATATATACTACCACAGGGTTATTTGTACATGTGTACTATACAGTTGATAAAGACAGTGGCTGATGATATCATGGGGCCTAGCCCGCATGGCCAGCTCCACTGTGTGAGAGAGTTGTGTCTATAATAAGAAGAAAGGCAACGCGGCGTGAGAAAGAGGAGTTTGGATAAAAGGGGAAGTGCCGCGTGGCACCATGTGTGAAAGCTAAAGTACAAGGTTAAAGTGGAGAATGAAAATAAAGGGAAGGCCCAAAAATTGTGTTATCGTAACAGTTCATGGAAACTGCTCCATTGTTGAGTAAGCACTCTATGAAGTCTGTAGTGAGTTTTGTTGAATATAAATCAACTCCACACATTGGCTGCGTACAACAGCAAGTGTATTACATTCCGATGTGTCTACAATACATTGTCAGTTAGCTTGCCAGTGGAGCGGGAAAGGACTTACTCTGGTTACAAGTGCATGCCCACAATATGAACAACCTTGAAACCTTGATGGGATCAATTTTAACACATCTTAAAGAAAATTCAGTGAATTATCACTGCCGTACCACGTTGGCTGCGCAAGATTGTTGATATGCCCGGGCGTGACAAAAAAAAAGCTGTACGTTCCTGTTTGTAAGGAAAGGTTATCAAGCTAACAGAAAACCTAATCAAAATACATGTAAAATAGATGATTATAGGAGCATACCTCCTTAGTCATGCTATCAGCTGTGCACATAACGTCTCTGGTTGCTGTGGCATTGTTCAATCACATGCTTGTGGCCTTGTATATGCAATTGTCGGCCAATCTTTGGAGGAGCTCCTATTTTTGTTCTTCTGACAGATTTTGTTTGTCCTTCGTGGCCATGTTCTGTAGCTCAATAAGGTCCTTCCTTTCTCCCGGACTCAGACCTAAATATGAGAACCAGTAAGGTATGTTTATAACCACAGGCAAAGTGTAAAGTATGTACTTGGATTTATTTCTAATGCTTTGGCATGTAATATAGCATTGTGAAGCTGTGGTTTTCGCACCTTCGTGTAGTGGGTGTACGCAATTACCATATTCTTAACTTTTTCCACCTTTACATCATGATTTTTGGCGATGTCCGTAATTTTATTATTTTGCTCTTTTACAAATGTAATGATGTCTTTATTGAGCTTCTTGAGCATGTTGTTTTTTTTACTTCCCTTGGAATACTTCTCGAGGCCTTTGCAGCATCAGTAAGTGGCCGCAGAGGAGGGCAAACAGGTAATGTCCTTCTAGTGGGATTGTGTGAGGCCCACGTCGCACTATCAGCCTGTGCCAATTGCCCCTCTGTAGGATGAACACTGCCAGAAGGGAGTGTCGCTCTGTCACCGAGAGGGATAGACGCACCCAATGTGCCGCTGAATATATTAAAAGCCTCTTTTGGTTCACCTTGCAATAAATCAGTTGGAGGCAACGTGCCAGATGGATCAAGTGGGGGCGACATGCCAGATGGATCAGGTGGGGATAATGTGTCAGATGGATTGACTGACACATCTGGTTTCACTGTGGCTGACTGATTAGATGTGCTGTTTGCCAGGGTGTCTGGGAGTGGAGAGGTTGCTGGTGGGTGTTCATGCATGCTCCAAGGGTTGCTAGGCATCTTGTCTGGCCTGTGATCTACAGGGAACTGGGGCTCTTAGAAAAGTGGGTTGAACCAAAAGGGGTATGGTGTATCCCGCATCATAGGTAATGTTGTGGATGAGCTTGTCTCCCTCGGCCAAGAGGCTAACAACAGGTCCACACTACGAGCATTCGCCGAAATCACTCGGTGCGACATACCAAAAGCACAGCGCTGACTGAAAGCCTACTATGGCTATACTCCGGACCATAATTGGGAGTGAAAAGGTAAACAATGGGTCTAATATTGCATAACTATTCCTTTATGGAATGAGCCAAACCATCCCGTTCTAGGATATGGCCGTAACATCATAATCACAGTAAGCCTATTCTTTGACTGTTGCAGATAATTTTGGCTGTTCCAGAGCTGCCACTTATCTTTCCCTTTGTGTGACAGGGAAATGCAATCCCACAAAGACTAGCAGTGAAGAATAGATAAAGACCAAACATGTATATTTTTACCTTTTGATTCTTTGTTCAATCTTGGAGCACACCGGTGAAAGTTTTCCATTTGCATCTCTGGTGTTAGACTGTTGCAACTTGCTATTTTGGCAATTGCTCGTAGTGCCAAGGTCCGTCTCCGAAATGTCGTGTTGTCTAAGTCTGCATCCAGTACATAACTTGTACGATCCTCCAGCTCATTCCTCCGAAAACCATTATTTCTGGACATTATCAGCGCAGGGGGGACTTCCAGAGGATCATTTAAGAAGTTCCAAAGTCTCTCCCTCTCGCCTTTATCCTGCGCCATTCCCTGAAACATCTCATTTGGAGGAGGGAAATTGAATTTGGACATGGATGGATGGAGGCTGCTTCTTTGAAGTGACAATTGTGTCTTGGGGGGTCTCTGGTTGGGGGGGGGGGGGGGAGGGGAGAAGGAGCTGACCTCTTCTGTATTACTCTTTACTTGCATATATGCCAATAAAATAAAAATATGCCGGTGTTTTGGCCAAAACGGCCTAGTAGGACCACCAAATATTAAACCTGCATCAACATTAAATAAACTTTTGGGCAAGAAATATATGATAACTAAATATAATAATCGCAAAAGATCATCACAATATCACAGTGGCAAATGTTGGTGTCATGTGAAAAGTGAGCCAAAGTCTCTGATAAATGATAACAGTTAGCTTAGTTTCATTTAGAAGTTATAACACCAAGTGACGAGTACTTACCTTTGGTGAGCGTGGAAGGTTTGGTGTGATGATAGTGCATCGGCTCCTCTTTGCAGTGAGTCAATATGATTACTAGATTGGGGAAGAAATGTAGCACATACAACAATAGATAAACACTTGATCCATCATTGAACGGCACAAGAATGAATGTAAGTAGTGAGAATAGTGGAGAAAGGCATTAATCATGTCACCATGTAGGACTGTAATATGTTTACTCCAAGGGTGTGCTTGATTCTTGATTGCCCCTATGGTTGCATTGCCAAAAAATAGGCGTGTCAGGATTGCATATGATGTGCACCCACCACAGCTCAGCATTCAGCGCTCGGGTGTGATTTGAGTGTATGCCCCTAAACTGATACTAACACCAGTAATGGACTTACTGGTCATTGCAGAAAAAACCAGCCACCCGACTGTCACAAACACTTATGCCTTGGGATTTGGGGGAACTGCTACTGGAATGGTGAATGAATTGGGCAAAGAACAATGTTGGAAATCCAAGCACTCACAGCCAATGTACATACAATGCTGTCACACGCCTCAAAGATAGTTGCCTTTTTTGTACAACACTTCTGGCAAGCCTGCCAACTTGAACAGGATAATCCCTATGAAATGACTAGGAAATTTGCTATATGACTGATTCTCTAGGATTTTTTTGCTATGCACACTGGAGTATAATGTCCAAAAATATATACTTCATCTTTCCAGCATTACAGGTCTCTCTTACCTGATATATCTGGCAAGATAGTACCATGCACGTACTCGGACACTTTGATTTTGAAGAACTTGACCTCAAATGAAATCTTCAGCATCAAATCATACACTGTCAGAAACCAATCTTGTACTTCCTCTGGTGACACTGTGTAGTCAAAACCGTGAGTCATGTGAGCCTTGAAGTCTTGTAGGATTGTCCGCCCTTCCTTTGCATGAATGTTGCACTGCTCAAAAAAATATTCAATGCCACTCATATTCTCCTTTTGTGCTTGACCCAGGCCCTCTTCAAACGGCTCAAACAAGTGTTTTAGGGTTCCCAGCCAATCTCCCATTCAACTATCCTCTTCCGAAGCTGGTTCAATAATTGGGAGGCTGAAGGTTGGAAGGCAGAGGGACCTCTACAGAGAGTGGCGGTTTCCTTTTTCTCTCTCTTCTTCATGGCTCCAGCACAAGTGGTGCTTGCCTCAGATTCTGTTTCTATCTTTCTGTACAACATTAGATAGATCAGAGCATGTACACCACTGTAAAAAGACGCAAACTCACTTTGCGCGGTTCCTATTCCAACAAATTGTACAATAATGAAGTGTTAAGTCAAGAGTCAAAGGAAAATATATGTACTTAGCTGACCTGAGTCTGGCTTTATCATTTTGAATAGCGTACACTAAAGTATAAAATATGTTAATAATGGAATCAAAGAGAATCACAGAGAAAATTAAATGATCTCACCCCGGTTTGTCTAGCCAGCGTTGTGAAGCTAGAGATTGCTTGACTTTCTTGCACCTTGTAGCCATGATATAGTGAACACGTTCACTATAGTTCACTATGATATGCTTGATTTCCAGTGAATATGTGGACTGATCATGTGACCATTTACTTTACTTTACATTTTCGGACTTTTCATAGTCACATGACCAATCATATAACACATCACCTGACCAGTGTCTAGGCTCACCATGTGACTGGTCACATGCTAAACATCAGACTTTAAACTTTATTTACAACTGTACAGTACCTCATGTATTTTAGTATATATACAGAAGCAATACATGGGGAAGGACTCAGCGAGTCCTCCTGTTGTCTACCAACAACTAACTTGTCAAAACCTAATGGATAACCACTCCCACCTCTTCCTCTTCTTTTGAGTGTTGTTTTTATTGTGCTCCACTGCCTCAAGACTGTGTCTTGTTGGTGTTGTCACAGTGGTCAATAATGGCTGTTAGTTTTTGTAATGCAAAATGTGCAAATTCTCGACAACAATTTGTTTTGTGTGTAGGGCTTCACCTTAGATATTACCAATAGGAAGGATAAGACAGAAGTCCTTGTCTTTGCTATCTCAATGACCTCTGATAGAGACATTGAGGTTAATCACCAGTGAAAGGAAGGGGAATATTGGAGACGAATTGTTGCCAGGCAAAATCGACGCAACTTCAGCCAATAGCTCATACTCCTCAGGCAGCTGGAGCTCAATCTTGTGGATAGAGTGATTATTAGAATAGTGTACAATGAACTTACCCCAAAATGATGTTTGCTGGGATCCTCAGGTATGTCTCACATGTAGCCTTTACATCATTTTGATACAGAGACTGAAGCTAGCAATAACTCAGGTAAATGATCGGATAAGGCTCCCAATGTGTAGCCACATACCTGTGTTTGCAAGTCATTAGTGTCTGTTGCTACATGGCCCCTCACTGCTTGTTCCCTTTCCTTCTCAGTCCACAGGACATTGGCATTGCGACCGTGTTCTTCCTGAAAGACTTTGTTTGCAGCCAAAGAATGATTATATGATGTAGGGATGTGTTAGTTTTGGTGATTCTGCACCTTTGTGCTACCTATATATTTTCATTCCTTTCTCTATCTATTCTTCTATTATCCACTATTGATTGTGTTCTCTATTATTTTGCCTTTGTGGCTGCTTTGTTTACCTTTGTTTACAAAACTTCGGACAGTACTGCAGAGTCCAATGCTTCCTATTCTCTAGTTACTCACATTGGACTCTAGGTACTGTATACCTGTCATACTCTCTAATAATAAAGTTACTCACATTGGACTCTAGTTCCAGTCCCTGATTGCTCTCAGCAAGTGGCTAGACACTTCCTTCAAGCTTTGTTCTTAATAGGATGGTGGTGATGTTTTTCTCGCTGAGAAAGCAAGATGGATAGGAGTTGGGAAGAGGACAGTCCTTTTCCTCATTGATTTCAGTTGATAGGGGACTGTATGGCCTACTCAGAAATGAGTGTTCCAGTGGTGCAAGCATGTTGTAACCCAGTTAGTGCAGAGGGATAGCTGGATTACCAGTGCAAATAGTGGAAGTGTAGCAAGACTGCCAGGCGACACAGTCACACTTAAGTAAAACAAAGTTACTAGGTATATTGTCATTAGCAAGGATATCCTATTAAACTTCAATAAAGCTAAAAACTATAGCACGCACTTGAAGATAACAGAATCAAAAAAACAGTCTGTAGAGCTGATATTTGTGCAACCAAATTCATTGGCTAGCTGATGCTCCGCAAGTATAGCCAGGGAGAACATTAATGCCATGCTAATGGGCAAAGAGAGGTGCATGCAACTGATAGTAGAAATGGTTTGGTCGATAATTAAATTTCCCTCGATAGTCTCTTTTTAAAGCTTGTCAGAGGTGTATAAAAGGCGACTATCTTCAATTCTTTTCTTTGGCATTCTTAGCAAATTGGCAAGGTCCCATGGTGAAGTGCCCTCCATGGCAGCAACTGAAACACAAAGACCCAGCCGGCAAGAAGTACTAATAAATATATGGAGCCTCCACCAGCAAGGGCTGCAAACTTGCTTCCAGTGAAATGCCAGTCTTAGAATGCCCTTTTGCTGGGTTTATTGGACAGATGTGTAATTTCTTGATTGTATATTCTATTGAGAGAGAGACCTGTTTGTATTTTGGTACTACAATTTGAGATATGAGCGAAGGATATTGAATATGAGAGAAAGACAAGTGTACTTACCTTTGACATTTTGTGACAAGCTGCATAAGGTTAACCATCAGAAGAAAGTTGACTGCTATGTCCTTGCCACTAAGTCCCTTGCAACGGGCAACAACTGACATAAGTGATTCATTGAGATATGCTCCCTCCTGGATTGCAGACTTGACGTTTAGGAGCCAAGGTTGTGCGTGTCAGAGCCCCAACAAGCGGATGAAAGAGTGGCAATGATGGCACTGACATCCTTGCTTGCGTTGATCCAGGGACTACTTCATTGTCACCATGTACCTTCGCCACCCTGACGCTGCAGTGCAAAAGTAATACCACCCCTAGGACAAGGGCGATGGGGCTCAGAAGCTGGTGCCAGGTCTTGAGGTTGTTGGGTTTGTCGTCTTGTTGCTCTGGATTTCCCTTGATTGCTTTGCTTGGAAGCCATAATGGTTTTTTTTGGAAGGCTGGTATTGGGTAGGTTGATTGATTCAGAACCAGAATCTTGAAGTGTATCAGTGCCAGTAGAAAGATGAGACTTGTCCAACCAGGGAAGCATGTTTGGTAGTGCTGATTGCTCTTTAGGTAGGTTATTAAATTAGATGTAGTATTGAATGGTGCCGTTGGCTCTCCAAAGAGGAACTGGAAAGAAAAATGTAAACGTACCTAGTGAGGTTTCACCTAACAAAAACTCGGATTCAAATAGAACTGACGAATATATAGTTTCAGCTGAGGATAGCCAGATCAGAAATCAAACTTGAAAACTCACCTGGCAATGCAGCCAAAATTGATGGGTACAATAGAAATGTTGATAAGTTGCTCTGAAAGTTGACCAGGCCTTCAGGTCTTGGATACTATTGAGTATTTCCACCAGATGCATAAGGTCATTCCTATGCATGCTCAGTGCACATGCCAGCAGCTCACATTCCAATATGGATAGCATTTTTGGGATAGCCAAAAAAGGCAGTTGAGCAGGTGTTTGAGCACCTGCCATTCTTGGTCTGATTTGACTAAACCATGGAGCCCTGGCTCAGAAGGAGAGGTCGCAGATTTTCTGAACTATCTGGTTCACAAAGTTGATCAGCTTGTGGATTCTGGCACCTTCAAGAGGTTCAGATGGTGGACTTCTGCATATGCTATCCAAGTAGTCGGTGATGCTGGTGGAAGGCGCCACCCAGATCTTGAGCTCATATCCTACAGTGACACATTTTATCCCCTTAAACTCCCTCCTGCAAGTATAAGAAATGCCAACAGTCTTGGTGAGCTCAAGGACCAAGAGGAAAATAAAGCCTCTTTTGACAAGGTACACAAACAGCTTATGGGAAGATTGTCATTTGTTAGGGCTGCACAAGATTGATATATCTACACTCTAGGTACTCCTTACATTATTATCTAGTTTCCTACTGATCTCATGCACTTTTAAGGTCTTTCTATATGAGGTTCTTCCTTCAATTTGCTCTACATGGATCAGGGTGGCTCAATCATTACATTTGAACTCAATTTTCACCAGTAACTAACACCTTCTCCTTGGATGTTCCCATGGCTCAGACGAGTGTTTGGCCTACAATACTGGGGCTAACCCCAATTATGTTCGCATCAGCACTTTGGGTGAATTGAAGGTTCACTGTATTCTCTTTATTTCTGACAGCATCCATGGGCGTGGAACTGTAGTCAGGCAAGCACAAATACCTATATTAAGGAGATCAGATGACCCATGGATATTGCGGTTAAAAGGTGTCAATCTGATAGTGAAGGATACTTGGCATGATACTCACCGCAGTCTTACTGAGGGTACAATTTTTCGCCTGCTTGAAGCAAAAGGAGTAAAGGGAGTCCCACATCTCATTTGTGAAGAGAAAGTTTGCAGCTCAAAGTGATGGGCCCAGCATGATCAATCAAGCCAAAGTCCAGAATATAATTCCACGTCCAATATTCATGATGCCCTTGGCTCCACATTATCCCTGAAAAACAAGGAGAGGGCCCAAGTTTTGGCTCATCCACACCACCCTTACTAACTGCGTGTTCACATTTGTTCAATGACTACACCTGCTGGTGCAATTATAACAGATTTTAATTGCCTAAAGGAGCTCCTTGTCGTGATCATTGATCTCATCAAAAGCAAGTATCATACCCACTATCAATTTGTCTATACTGACATTAACTAGGTCACAATATGGCAATGGTGACCTCTGTTTCAGGCCAAGTTTCTGTGAAAGTCTTACACCAGGATGGCTCAATCAGCAACTCCCTTATTGTGGATCAAGCACTGTCTGACTGGCCCTTTTTGAAAGCTCCAGAGGGATGTGCACCTCCCAATACTCACATACGGAGGGGTTTACTTGCAGACTGGGGATTTGTAGCTGTATTTGAAGATACTGAAGAGTTAGCGGAGCATTCAGACGACTCAAAGAAACGTACAGATAACGTGTCTGAAGATTCAGACCAGAATGACCACTATTTTGGATTCAAATCTGGTGGGGTCCAGAAGCTGCAAGAGTTGGTGAAGTCCATGCTATCCACCTTCAACCACGAGGAAGAAATAATCCGCTCTGACCAGAGTGTCTATTTGTTGGATTTATTTTTACATAATAATCAACCTGAGTGGACGTTGGACAGAGGGTACTCTTGATGAGGTTATACAACAGTTGAGTAAGGAGGGCTGGCAGGTTGGTAATGGAAATCATGTTCTTGAGTGTACAGTAAGTGTTTATATCGGCCATCATTAAATTATTTTGTTTGATGTATTTTTTTACAGGGGACAGAGCCTTTTATGGCAGTGGAAGTGCAAAATACACAGCCTGGTGACTGGATTTGACACACTGCCGATCATGACCTGGAGTTGTTTTATTACGTATTGCTGGCCATGTGTGTCTTGATGGTAAAGCCGTATGAGATGAAAGATGCAGATGCTAAAGAAAAAGACAACATCAAGGAATGGCTAAATCCCGATTTCACTTCAATGTTTACCCGCTCTGACGCTGCTTTCCACAAGTATCAGACCTTTGGCAGAGTCGATGGTCTCAGCTTGTTTCTTGAAAATAATGTATCTGAACTTTGCCTTTACAACCCCTTATTTCAAGCGCCTCTGTAAGATTTTGTTTGGGTCCACATTGTTCCTCTCAAAGAGATTTGTAGAGGCGGGTCCGCCACCATTCTTTGTACTGTTGCATGCCTCCCATGACAATGTTTTTGATATCCTCGGGGAAGCTCTAGAGGAAATTCAATGCAATGAAAAGTGGAAGCAGATCATCAGGGTTTGTCCATCATCTGGATCTTTGGAGGTCTGATGACGAGTGATTTGCATTCCAGGCCCCTTTGGTGTTGAGCTATGTTTCAGGTGCAAAGAGGACCAGTGGAAGTATGGCAAGGTATTCGAATTTGATCACTTCCTCCGCATCCTCTCTTCAGGCAGTCAAGGCATCCAATTGTCTGCAAGCTGTTACTCTCCAATCTCTTAAACGCCATCATAATGCCTTGTCTTTGTTCTTTGCTTCTGATATTGCAGATTCTAAGCACCCTTGTACTAAATAATTATGTATTTGTAATGTGACCTTGTTTGACATCTGTAAAATTGGGTTCTCTGTAGCATTCATTGTTCCTCATTCTCCAACCCAACAAAATGCTTGTCAACCGTAATACTCCTCACCCATGCCCAGCATCATGTGGCAGAGCTTTTACCAGCACCCGTGCCCTCAATACGCACCTTGGCTCTGCAAGAAGCTGTGCTTGGTACTGCAAGGGTAAATTGAGAGAGGTCCTAACCCAGCAGGATGGCAACTTGGAGAGGCAAGGATTGCTAGTGGAAGAAAATTTAGATAATCCCTATGGCCCTCCACATCCATTCCAGGAGGAATCCATTGGAGATACTGTGGAAGATATTGAAGAAGATCTATTTGCATTCATCCTACTCAAGCAACCTGAATAGGAGGATCTGGAGCCAGGGGAGGCAGCAGGTCCTTATAATCATCCAAATGCCATTTCTCTGAATGATAATGATGATGAGCATAAAAATTCACCACCCTACAGTAGGTCAGATAATATGTATGGACCATACCTTGCATAAGAGATGGAGAAAAGAGTTTGAAGGGGCAAGAGGGGCTGTAGACAAATATGTCGATGTGGATATGGATAATAATTTCCCAGATGCCCCTGGACCACAGGATACTAGGTTTTTTCCATTTGCATCAGAAACAGACTGGTGAGTCGCCTGTTGGGCGATCCAGGATGGAATAGGTCACAAATCATTTGACCGTTTGTTAGCTATTCCAGTGGTATGTCTTTATTCTATTTACTTCCTGGATCTCCTTAAAGAAGCCATTGTTTCAGGTCAAAGAGAGACTGGGATTGTCCTATCACAATATTAAAGGGCTACACAAGATAGTTGATTCTGGTATTCTATCCAGAGCTGATTGGACGTCAAAAACCATTGCATTCCCAGATGCCCCTGATGACAAGCATCTAATTCATTACCGTGATATCCTTTCTGCCATTTGTAGCCTCCTTGGCAACCCAGCCCATGCAAAACACATTGTCTACAAACCTAAGAAGATATTCAGTAATGCACAGAAAGAGAATAGAATTTACAATAAAATGTGGACTGGAAAGCGGTGGCATGCAATCCAGGTCAGTATTATGCTGGGAATTTTAATTTTATTTGAACGTTGACTCTTATGTGTGCAAGTACGTCTACCTAAGGGAGCAGCTCTTTCACCAGTCGTAATTGCTACAGACAAAACACAATTGACACAGTTCTCAGATTCCAAATCTGCCTATCCTGTGTATCTAACTTTGGGCAATATTCCACGTGCAATACAACGGAGGCCAAGCCAGCATGCCTGTATCTTAATTGGCTACTTGTCTGTAAGCAAAATCATAGGCATGTAACACTCCGAGAGAAAAGTCATCCAGAGTGCAGAGACTATTTCATGAGTCAATGAAGATTATTTTGGACCCATTAACAAAAGCTGGGAGGGATGGAATAGAGGTGGTAGGAGGAGATGGAGCAGTGAGAAGAGTATACTCTGTGCTAGCCTGCTATGTGGCAGATTATCCAGAGCAGTGTCTGGTGATGTGCTCAAAATATGGTACCTACCCCAAATACAAACAACCTCCAGAAGAGCTTTCAGCCTCTACTGCAGGAGAGCCACGTACTGATCAATGGACAGAGTCAGTAATTAACAAGGCTAAGGAAGATACACAACTGTAACATCCATATTGCAATCACTCCTGATGTCCTCCAGCAGTTATACCAGGGCATTTTCAAGCACATGGTGCATTGGTGCCAGAAACTACTAGATCCTAAAGACCTTGATGCACGCATTAGAGCACTTCCTCCCTGCTTTGGTGTTTGTTATTTCAAGAATGGCCTTTCTGCTCTTGGTCAAATAGGGGGGAAGGAACGGAAAGATATGGCAAAGATACTATTGGGATGCCTTATTGGCAAACTTCCATGTCATGCTATAATTACCTATTGATCACTTTTAGACTTTATTCAGATAGCACAATACACAATGCATGATGATACCACCTCGGGCTACCTTGCCCGATCTCTCAATATTTTTCACCAACACAAAGATATCTGTATTTGTCTTGGCATCAGGGACCATTTCAACATACCTGTTACGATACACAATTTTTGGACCTTTAATTTTCATTCTCCTCACTAACTTTATACTGTAGTTTTCACACCTTGTGCCATGCAGCACTTTCCTTTTTGTTCAAACTCCTCTTTCTCGTGCTGCACTGCCTTTTTCCTTGTTTTAGCTACAAGTCTCTCATGCAGTGGAGCTGGTCACACAGACTGTGCCCTCTGACATCATCAGCCACTGCTTTATCAACTGTATAGTACAACATGTACAAACAACCTGTAGTAGTATATATACCTCAATAGATCCAGGAGACTCCTCAGCGAGTCCTCCTGTTGTTTACCCACAACTAACACGGTCCTACCTAAGGGGTAATCACTCCCTCATCACTACCTCTATAGTTTGTTCTAGTTGTGCACCAGAGTAACTAACTCTTGGTTGCTACAATACCTAAATTTCATTCCCTCTTACACTACCAGGAGTTTATTAATAAACCTAAGTGAAACTACAATAGATGTTAGTTTAAGGTGATCTCTAATAAATGTAATGTAACATACCTCAGCCGCTGCCCAAGAGGCTATAGAAACGACTGAGGTATTCCTATACTAAACCCCCTACTACTTATAGTCAGAGGTGCTACTCGCTACAGTATAATGACTCCTAGGAGTACAATTGTGCTCCTAGGAGAACAATGGTTACTCAATGGAGTGGTGGCTATGCTCCATGGAGAACAATGGCTGCTTTGGCAGAGACCGGGTTTATCCAGTTTTGTCATTTATCACATGGTTTGGCACCACCAACAACTACAATATGGAGATGTTTGAAAGATTTCATATAGACTTTGCTAAAGATAGATGGAGGTCCAATAAGAGGAATGAAGCTCCTCAAATGATTGTTAGAATATACTCTGACATACCAATACTCCATAGGATAATACCTCTGATTTGTAAGCCAGCCCAGTATGCAGCAGCTATTCTGTGTAAAACGTCTGTGGTTGCATGTTATGTTTAAGATCCTACATTGTATAACCTTGGCCATATAGCTCAATTGGTAGAGCAGCTGGCATGTATCCAGAAGGTTCCAGGTTCAATCCCTGGTCTGGTCATTATCCAATTTTATCAATGATTACCTGGCTGCTGCATAGGGAAAAAATAATTGCTTTTGAGAGTTATCTTAAAATGAGCATGGAAAAAGACGATAAAGATGTTTTCCTTTGTGCCAAGTCTCAGGATCATCATATCATTATTGCAAAGAATCCAAGCAAATCCCAGCAATCACTTATATCTGTCATGGAAAAGTGCTCTTGCCCAGGCTTTGAGGACGTACTAAAAATCTATCTTAATTAAAAATTACAGCAGCCCCATTCCAGAGTACAAACAAGATCTTATCCTCTTCCATTTCGAAACCTTGATATTTTCCACTTATTCAAATTCTCCTTTTAGACTCTTGGAAACAATGTGGACTTGTTTGATGACCAAATGGATGCTGTAAAGGCAAAACCCTCAAGTGTTGGTGGACAGCATCCTAGGTTTGATACTATTATAGTAATAAACTCCAATGACTGTGAATCAACAGGTTTGACAGGTAAGTTCTATAATATAAAGCTTTATCTACTATCTGTTTAAAAATTGTACCAGGCACAAGAATTTGGACGTCTCAGAGTGATCTTTAAGCTATCTACAACTTTATATGGCACACATAGTACCCCTTCTAACTGGCCCAAAGATCATTTGGATAAAATTGGATAATGACCAGACCAGGGATTGAACCTGGAACCTTCTGGATACATGCCAGCTGCTCTACCAATTGAGCTATATGGCCAAGATTATACAATGTAGGACCTTAAACATGACATGCAACCACAGACGTCTTACACAGAATAGCTGCTGCATACTGGGCTGGCTTACAAATCAGAGGTATTATCCTATGGAGTATTGGTATGTCAGAGTATATTCTAATAGGATCAGCACAACACCACAAGCTTTCTCATAGAGAAGGATCAGCATAGTCCCTTAAGCCTCATGATGGATCCCTCAAAACTCATACACTCGAGTTCGCAGATATGCATTAAGCTGCAAATTTCCATGAGCTTAGCCATGCTGGTGATGCCTTGGAAGCAACAAATGATAAGACACTGGTGCCTGAAAATTGTTAGTACTTGGTAATGTACAATAAATGTGTTGCTTTATATGTCATCTTCTTGTGTTGTTTATCTGTGCTTGACCTTTTGATAGTCACACTATATTATGGCTTTGCTATGTGTAATGTGCCATTATATGAGGTTTACCATTCTAGGTCAAATGTCATTGAGTTTTTAGGTCTTTTATGGCAGAAGTTCAAAAAACCTGGCCCAAGGCTCATCTCAAGAAATCCATATCTGTCGTATTGAGGCCTATATTTTTCCATAAAGAACATATTACCAATTTAAACAGTCTTGGAAGCATTCCCACTACCCCGTCTTAATCTTGATAGCACCGCTGAGGCCAGGGGCAGGCCTGCAACTCAGAAACCTTCCTGTCAGTATCAACACAACTAGATTTACATCAAGCTCCCACTCAAGGTATCAAAAAATCCCCCCCAGACTAACCTCTTGGAGTTGAAGGATGGCCAGATCCAGTGGTGGAAATATACTGGAGGAGAGCAAGCAAAGAAATAAGTATATTTTCTGATTAATGTCCAAAAGTGTCACACTCTCATCTTTATCTTGTTGATTTTAGTCACATTGAGATCTTCATTGGTTTTATTTTCTCTTTTTTTAGGCATGTTTGTTGCCCATTGTAGTCTATTGGCACCAGATATCAACATAGAGATGCCTTTTACAGCATTTAAATACAGTAAATAAGAATTGTATTACGAGTATTGCTGAGACCTTAACTCCTATTACAAGGGAATCTTAATATGTCTCTTTTAGGGTATCTGTATTTTTTCATTCTTAAGAAGAAAGATAGTACATCTGAACCTTTGTCCCCTCCTGTCCCCATCTTTGTTTACTCAGTCCCCTACTTATGCAGAAACTCAAATATCCCCATGATTTTAGGTCTATCTGGCCCATACCAAATTGCCCTTCAAAGCAAGTTGGACATCTTTGTTTTATTAATTAACACTGATATACTATTTCAGCAAAGTATGCCTGTAAATTGTAGAGATGCAAAGGTGTCCTCACTGCTAACTAACCTCTAAGATTCAGAACACACCATTCCTCTCGAACAGGTAGGCGGAGGAAATAAATTGGATATTCCTACCCCAACACAACAGCTACACACATTAAGCCAACTAATTGTGACAGTGGGATTGAGTGTTATATGTAGGCATGCCATGCACTGCTCCCAGATGAGCCAGCTGGAGCCCCACCAGAATATTTTGTCACATACACACAGTTGCCATCAGCTCATATTTGCACATATGATTTCCACCAGCCTCAATAACTGTCTGCACTACACCCCTCTCCTCCCCTTTCATTTCCCATGCAACAATTGCATATATATCTGCCTACACCAGCCGGCCAGTATTCAGCCCACCACGTGCAAGGTTCAGGCCAGCCTCATCAAGGCCATAATTAAGCCGGACTATGGATTTTTCCAGACACTCCAAGAGGTTACAATGTGCCATAGGAAGGAATGCAAAAGGTTGAGATGCATCCTCACAGTGCTCCTGGAGGCTCCAATGTAGCATATGCAGGTAGGCTCACTCACACCAGAGTATTCTGAACAGCTGATAACATATTTTTAGATGCTTTTTGAACACCCTATTGGGGTAGGGGTTCCCTTGAGCCTCCACAGTCTCCCTTTGTAGGTCCTGGACCTCCATTTGCTGTGTCAATGTCTTTCTGGCCTTCTGTCTCCCCTGCTCTTAACTTCCACCTTCTTAATGTGCAAGCTATCCTAAAAACTGACATAATTCCCCCAACCCCTCAAAACACTGTGCAGATGGACCAGTAAAAGGCTATATCCTGACATCAAATGTAATGTTTTACCAACTCAAACACTGTTATCAAATCCAACGACACCACCCAACCCTGCACAAAAGCTTGCTGACAAACTTTTTCCGCCAGTGCAACCACCTGAGGCTAGCAGTATTGACCACTCTGGATAGCTTGTAAGGATATCCTGTGACAACCAACCACCAGACCCCTTACTTTATAGAACAAGGCCAAGGGCCCCACCAATGTTAAATACAACTTTTGGAATATATATACAAGGTATTTTTCTGTTGACACTACTGAGGAACTTAAGCGTGTCCCTAGTGTGGGCCTTTCAGAAGGTGTTACTGGTGAGATAAAAGCATAACAATAATATTCATTTGAAGCTAATATCAGTAATAGATAATGTGGAAGTACAAAAATAGTGTTACACTGTGTTCAAAGCAGCCTACCCTGACACATGGCAACAAATCCTCGAGTCAGAGCAAGATGTTATGCTCTGCAAGAGCCCTGGGCAGACTGCTGTATGGTTTTCAAGCAGCCATCACAATGTGTAGTGGTATAGTCAATGAAGATGTGTCACTTGGTGCAATACATGTTACCAAATGTGTGCAGGATGTAAGTAAACCAACCTTTCATGAGTGTCTGTTATTCATAGTGCTATCTACAGTTCTTCCAAGCACAGTGCCATGCAGACAATAATACAATTATTGGACATTTCAAGGCACACATATAGTAAGTTTATGGATTACTACTACTTAAAAATCTAGTTTCTCAGTGCTCAGTCTATTCATCTAGTAATAACACATCTCTTTATATTGTGAAAAAAGTGTTCAATGAGAATGCCAGCCAAGATAAAATTATCCCAGACCCACCTCAGGCTGCCAAGGATCCAGTGACAATATAGTCAAAGATCCTAATTTCAACCTCTAGCAGATTAAGGGGGGTTTGAAAGGCACTACCATATGTTTACAACATCTTGCCAAGTGATTTTACTGACTTATATTGCCTTTATCACATACTCAAATCAGATCACATACAAAGATCTGCCCACCTCACTGTAATAATGTCCATAAATGATCTTCACTGTTGTATAGGTCATATTGCCCACAATTTGCTCAAACACCTTATTAAATCAGGTTTAGCTGGGGGCATAACCATAGATGAGGCCAAAAAGATCATCTTCTGTGAAATCTGTGTATGCGCTAAAGCAGTCAGAAAGCCTTTTCCAAAAGCAAGCAATACCAGGGCAAAAACTTATAATGAAAGGACTCACTCGGACCTTTGGGGACCTGCAACGGTACAAGGCTTTAAAGGAAAAAAGTACATGCTGACGTTCACGGATGACTATTCCTGTGAAATGCATGTCTAGTTTCTCGCAACAAAAGATGAAGTCCTGGCCATCTATAAGAACTACGATGCATGGTTACATACCCAAAAAGACGGCACCAGAATAAAGGTTCTAAGATCTAATTGCGGGGGAGAATATATGAGTGCAAAGTATGATGAACATCTTGCAAAACAAGGCACAGTGAGAGAACTCACCACACATGACTCACCCCAGCAAAACAGTGTCGCAGAACGCTTAAACTGCACTCTTGTTGAGTGTGCCCACACAATGATAATTGGGGCCGGATTGCCTAAATTCCTCTGGAGTGGAGCATTAAAACATGCGGTCTGGATCAAGAACCAAGCACCTACCAGAGCACTAGGTGGCAAAACACCATACAAAATTCTACATAGCGTAAAACCAGACCTACATGATATACATGAATTTGGATGCACAGTGTATGTGAAAACCATAGGTGCAGGGAAATTAGACCCATGTGCTAAACTAGGGAAATGGGTAGGATATGATGGTCAGTCCAAGGCTTATAGAGTTTACTGGCCAGACAGACGCACTTTAACGGTCGAACAAGATGACATTTTTAATCCAGAAGAACAACTCACTACAGCCCATATAGACAACATTGACTACCAGTTCTTTTTTGATCCTGATGATACTGCAACAAACAATATTAGCAAACTGCACAACTTGCTGGACACAGCAATAAATGTGCTGGACTTACCTCGTGTTTGTACACCACCTAGTCACACCTCCACTCAAACCTCATCCAATTCCTCTCAAACCCATTGCTGTTGATCCACCTCAAAATGTCAACCAGCCACCTCTTGAGCCTCCAAAGGACCCAATCCTACCAGGAGAACCCAAGCAAGACCTTCAACCACATCCTAAATGTGTAGAGCTGAAGCCTGCAGGCTTCTATAGAGCTCTACATGAAGGATGTGTCACTGCAGCAACAGTCACGGCTATAACTGGCAAATACAAATCAGATGACAACAGCGGCTATAGTGAGGTCAACGGGACTTACCTCAGCGCCCAAACTGCAGATACACGCACCATAGCGACTCCCAAATATAACACGCACCATAGCGACTCCCAAATATAACACGCTGACCATGAGCAAAGTGTTCAAAGGGCCCCCACAGGAAGCAATGGTTAGACACTATAAATGATGAACTGAAACAAATTGAGACCTTACGCATGTGGGAACTGGTCAAGCCACCACCAAACGGAAACCTTATTCAATGTCATTTTGTGCCTCAAATCAAGTGTGGACCCAACAATGAATTCTTGAAATTCAAAGTTAGGCTGGTAGCAAATGGAAATGGCCAACAATAAGGTGTCAACTACACTGAAACATATTCAGCTGTATCTCGGATGACAACAAATTGTCTTGTTCTGGCATATGCAGCACATCAAAATGTCAAAATCCATCAGATTGTCATTAAAAGTGCTCACCTTAATACACAAGTTGACAAAAATATATACATCAGGAAAACATGGTTTTACTATAAGTAATGCTAATAAGTACACACTAGTTCATAATTTTTGCTATTATAGCAAATATATTAGCCATATCAGTTCATATCGGTTCATATCAATTAGTACAACTAGTAGACAGTTGCTTGTACTATAGCATACTATATCATACTATTTTGCATTTAGTGTGTACTTTTTGCATCTAGATTGATTTAAAGCACAGTGTCAAAACCCAAAATGACTGTGCTTTAGTTGCTCTAATAAGCTTTATTTCACTCTGAAACAGATACAGAGTATATTATAATCATTATACTATAGATTTAATGTACAAAGTAACAAGTATAGTATATTGAAATGTACAACTACTCAAATGTAAAGCTTGAATACATTACTAAAAAATCAGAAACAAATAAATTGTGTATAAAGAAACATAACTTACCAGATAAAAAATTCCACACTAGCACCAACCTTTGAGACATTGTAGACAGCGTTGAAGGCTTTTAAAATTTAAAGCTATCTTGATGAAGTTATATTAGTTTAGAAAAATTGTATAGGTACTTAAAACTTCTCTGAATTTGAAGTCATCATCCAGCCAATGATATTTATTTTTCCCACACTTGGAGGTCATGCAACACAATGAGCGGGGTAGTCGGGGGGAGGGATTGTTCTGGCAGCACAATCCCGCCTTTTTACAGCCTGCCCATTGTACACCACAACCTTGAAGAGCCTTCCACACTGTTGTAGACAGTGTAGAGTGCTCTGCAGATATTTCAAGCTCCGCTCCAATATGGCAGAGCATATTGGACATATTGAAGCGGAGTTTAAAATGCCTTGGGAAGTGGTCAGAGACCAAGTTTGCCCTCCACTGAAGCACAGATAAATTGGATGGACTGGTTAGCTGGATGGATGGGTGGGTGGTGGATGGATGGATGGATGGCAGGATGGATGGATGGGTTATGGATAGGTAAATGGATGAAATTGTTACTGATGTAATAATGCATATAAGGTAAAGCAATTGTAGTTTGATTGAAATTTATATGTATCTTACTCCAAAGTCACTTAATATTATTATTCATTCTAATCAGTTCTTATTGGTACCAAATGTATATATACTGCTATATAATAGCAACTACTATTTCTATTGTACTCTAGGAGCACTTAATGTCATTATCCGCTTTAATTTGTTATGATCTGTTCTGGATGGTACTAGATGCAAATATAATGTCATAAATACCATGGCCACCGCTTCTATAGCAACTTATACATTATTTTTTGCCACAGTTGCTATATTTGTTAAAAGTACCAAATATAGCCAACTATAGCAAAATCATGTTTTCCTGATGTACACGCATCCTCCACCATACTGCCTAACAAAAGAACAGTCTGGCCTTGTCTGTAAACTGAATAAAGGACTATGGTCTTAAACTAGCAGGAAAACAATGGTATGACAAACTTACCAAAATGTTTACACGACTCAGATTCACCAGATCACAAAATGACCACACTCTTTTTATTCGACATCACAAAAATGACAGGACCATTGTTATAGTCTCAGTTGACAACATGCTAATTGCAGCAAAAAGATTGAGACTATACAAGAGTTTAAAACTGGCTTTAAGGATGAATATGAGATCACCAACCTTGGTGAAGCACACTGGCTACTGGGCATAGAAATCCTGCAAAACAGAAACACTCGTACAATTAGTCTTGGCCAACAGGCTTTGATAGACACAATTCTTGCATGCTTCAATATGTCCGACTGCAAACTAACCACAACACCTATGGAGCCTGGCAAACTACTGGTCAAATCACAAACTCCATCTTCTGCTAGTTAAACCGACAAAGTGAAAAACATGCCATACAGAGAAGTGATAAAATTAAATAATAACCAGACCAGGGATTGAACCTGGAACCTTCTGGATACATGCCAGCTGCTCTACCAATTGAGCTATATGGCCAAGGTTATACAATGTAGGATCTTAAACATAACATGCAACCACAGACGTTTTACACAGAATAGCTGCTGCATACTGGGCTGGCTTACAAATCAGAGGTATTATCCTATGGAGTATTGGTATGTCAGAGTATATTCTAACAAGAAGTTGTCGGGTCCTTTATGTATCCTGCCATATGCACTAGACCCAACATCTCTTTTGCAGTCTCCTCGCTATCTTGTTTTCTCCAAGACCACAACACTACTCATTGGGAGGCGGCAAAGCACGCTCTACACTATCTGAAGGCAACAAATTTTTTTTGCTTAGTCATTGGTCAAATTTGAGACAAACTCACTGGCCACTCTGATGCTGATTTTGCTTCCCACGACCACAGGCATTCAATCTCTGCCTACACTTCTGTACCTATGGTGGTGCTGTTTCGTGCAACTCTAAAACACAGCCTATAGTCGCTCTTTCAACCACCGAAGCTGAATACATTGCCATAGTGCATGCCACCAAGGAGGCCATATGGAAAGACATTACCACAACAGACCTGGCTCATCCCACTATATTATACTCCGACAACCACAGCTCTATTGAGTTATCAAAAAATAATGTCTACCATGCTAGAACCAAGCATATAGATGTCCGTTTTCACTTTATTTGAGAAGTGGCTGATCAAGGAGTCATTTCACTGACTTTCTGTCCAACTGATCAAATGCCTGCTAACATGCTTATCAAGCCACTTGCTCGGTTCAAACTCGACATTTCCACTGCTGTTCAGTTTAAGGGGATGTGTTAGCTATAGAAACATCATAGTTACTCTACAATGCACATGTACTATTTTCTTTCTTTTCTCTCTAAATTGAACATGCTGACTGCCTGTTCTACTTTCCGCTTTTTTACTGTTTACATAATAGTCACTTACTTTCCCATGGTTCTGTCTAAAAACATGTAATTGCCTCGTTTGCAAACCTCAGTCTTCTTGTTACAGGACTGAGGTATGATACTATAATATTCCCTTATGACAACACTTACTGATCTTATCTTAGTTTTTCTCTCAATAGGTACTTATCCAATAAATCAGTCTTCTTGTTACAGGACTGAGTTTTTCTCTCAATAATTCTCAACTCAACATTCTGTGGCATGGCAAGAACAAGAGGAAAAACAAAGAAAAAAAGCAGAAGAAAGGGAAAAGCACAAACAGCATCTAAAACTACAGTTGGAACAAATAGCAGCAGAGAAGGCTGCCAAAATAGCCATTCTGGCTCAGAAGCTCGAGAATATTGCTAGGGAAAATGAGGTGAGACCTTTGGCAAAATCTATACAATTGCACTCACTGATAATCTTGCAAGAGGTTACAAACTAGGATACAAAATCCAGAAAACCCCTCTGACCCCTCTGGAAGAACAGATAGTCACCAAGCCCAATATCAATCTGTAGATGATACCAAAACCTTGAATTAGGGGGACATGGTGGGGCAACCTTCACAATTGAGCCTCAGCAATTGAGTTGCAACCCCTATATTTGAGAAAACCTCCTTACCAGTATCCCGGCGCCTACAGACCATTCCCAAAGGATGACTCA